AAAGCTACTTCTCATGTTTTCTTTGTCAGGGGCTAACTTAGTGTGTTCCGCGGACTGCCAGTCTGGGAGGTGTTGCGGTACTAACGCCTGCCATTGCAGTGGTTGGTGTGGATGTCCAACGTGCATAGGCAGCTAGAACTTGTAGGTGTTCTGCAGCTGTTCGTGTAAGTAGTAAGCGGCTACGTAATCGAAAATCCAATTCCGATCTTGGATGGAATGTCCTACACTGCTCTCTAACTGCCTGTTGACAAATTGATAGATACAATTAAATTATTTTGTTGATTCAAAGAGCTTTATATATTTTTCAAGCTGTCTTAAAACTTTATTAACTTTATTTTATTAACAACTAGATCTACATTTATATTATAAATAATTTCTGTTCTCTTATTCCTAACATATTTTCAGGATGTAAAAGTAATAAATATGAAAAAAAGCATAAAATTTTGAGTTTTGCTGTATACTTATGAACCATGGATTTGATAACAAATAGTATGCTAAAACAACAAAGAAAATACGCACATTTCAACAGAGCCTTAAGTCGTGAAATTATGACAAAATATGACCAAAAGAAAGATTTACACGCAGATCGAAGAAGTGAACTTTTAGCGGGGCAAAGACTAATGATGTTTGTTAACGAATAGCTCAATCTCAATACCGAATCATAATCAAAAACATGCAATATCTGGCATTGAGTGCCAAGCTAGGGCTTTGCAAAAGATATGTGTCAATCATATCATATACCAAACCTCCATTAATATTAGGTGGAATGAAGGCTTAGAAGTCAATAAAAATTACAGAAAGCGTTTTTTTCGAGGTGCGAGAAGGACACAATGGAGTGCAATAAGATCTTAAATCTTGGAAATTATACTTTTTACGATCAAGACAATTGATAGTTGAACTTTGATAGTATAGTGGTTTTTTTCCATGTTCAATAGTTTACAAAACTTTGTGGTACAAACATATTCAGTTTCGGTAAAACATAGTTCTAGCAATTGATACACATTAATTGTGTGTCCCCAATGTTCGACCCGCTGCCAAAAAGTGTTTATTACTCATGAAGATATTACAACCTTTGTTTGCACTGTGACATTAGTAATAAAAGACCTTTGCATGTGATGCAAATTGATTCCAAAGCATCCATGATCATTTATTTTCATCGAATAAATTACGTAGAAAATAATAACCAAATTATCCTTTTCAATGTAGTATCTCTCAGCATGATTGATATAAATTATAAATACACTTACATATGTAAAACAGAAACAAGAGAACAGAATTTTAATTCAAAGCACATATCGATGGACAGGGTAAAAATAAGAACAACAACAAAAATACACGAAGACGCTATAAAAGGAACCATTCTATGTTCAAATATCATTAAAAGGACAAACAAATGAATCCCACATTTTAATGAAATTCAGAGTTAGATACAGTGGATCCAAATAATGAACAAAACAGCATTATAGGGTTGTTTCATGCTTCTTTGACTTTTGAGTTATGCTAAGGGTCCAAGTTTGGAAGTCTAGATGGCGACTGAGAAAAATCCAAAGTGACCTAAAGTAGTCAAAATGTCGACGGGGAGGTACTCTAGCCTCATAAGACAATATATTTCGTAATTCTCATTTATCTAATTTTAGAAGAACATCAAATACATGTGTATATTCTGAACAGTGCCACAAATCGATTGAATTAAAACTGGGCATACAGTTGAGGACTAATAGTCCTCTAGCAATGTCTACCACATGCAATCTCGAAGATTGTACCAAAGACACAAAAATTAATGGCACATTTTAATAAAATTTAGAGTTAGATGCTGTAGAGTTGCATATGGTCTGTAAAACCTCAAACGTAGGACGTTCCAATATTCAGTTAGTGTAAAGATTCTAATTGAACCACAATATTAATTTGATTTTCATCAAATTGCCTTATTGGCAAGCCGGGTTTCAATTTGATTAACCATCTACTGCAATACAGTACATCAAAGCGAAACGATACAATATACTGTACATGTGGATACTTGTAATTATGCTGTTAAAATAATCCGTAGTTACATATCAGCTACATCGAAGTAGGTACTGAAGAAAATCAAAATTTGTCGAAAGAAATCTTAAGATTTAGATGGAGAGGTGCACTAACTCCATAATTCAATAACTTTGATAATATTCTCATCTCGAATGATTTGATAGGAACGTCAAGCACGCGTGCATATTCTGACCGTATTACTCTTCATATCAAAACATGTCATACAAGTTACAGTGGGGTGTTCTCTGAATGTAAACATTTTTATACAAGAATGTGTTGCTTTATGATACAATGGCAAGTCAATTATATACTGTTTCATATAGGATGTATTTCTTCACCTGGATTGTTACCTGATATTTACCGGTTCCTCACAAAACATTTCTTCATATTTGATGTATTACAATTTTAAAAAAACATTGAAATGTTGTTATCAAAGCAATTTAGATGTATGAAAAATGTTGATATAAAAATGTGAATAATTAAATTTGACAATTCAGCACTAAATTATATTTGAAAACATCGAACTATTATATTGGATGATACCGTTATATACAACACACTATAAATTTAATTGTTTTTTTTATTATTATTATTATTTAAAATAAGTCATTGAATCAAAGAAAAAAGCGCATAATAATGTTGTAGGCTACAAGCACGCATACCGGTAATAATACTGAACGTCAAGACTTGTACGTATTGTAATTATATCCAACAAAAAGAGGATGACTTACATATTTAATCATAATTCAAAATTTAGGAGTTACTGTTAGGTTTTTAAATAATTTACCATGCTACATGGTTGATCGAGAACTTGACATAAGCAATTCCACTTTTAAATGATACAAAAAACAGGAAAATTGAATAATTGATTAAGATTCTAAAGAAAGACGGCATACTGTTATAATTTATAATGAAGTATTTATATATGATTAAATAAAATTTTAGTGTTCAAAAAATTTCGGTTCCATAGAAATATTTTTAAATAAAATTGTCTGGTATATGCAGGATTTTCAATTTTGAGAAAGTACAATAGATAAAACTTGGTAAGCAGATATTACATTTCGATTTTACATAAATTGAATAGCGATTTTTTTTAATTTTTCGATATCAGTTTGCTTTAGATTACATGAAAACGCATTGTGATTTTAAAAAGATACTTTGATACTATTAAATAATCACACAAGAAACTTACTTTGTATTTAGAGCAAGTAACCATTAATTCATAGTGGAAACTGGCAAACGGAATGATGCAGGATACCAAAATAAAATTGTCTTCATTTTTAATCAAATGACATATATGTCCAAATATATCAAGTTGAAAGCTAATGTCAGTTATCAGCTGAACATAAGAAAATTATGAAAATACCACTAGATATGTCCAAATGCAATTAAGTTGATAAAACTCAGGAATTTCAACCATAACAAAACCTTAAAATAATGATAGAACATGAGATGTGAAATGATGCATTTGATTTCTCTTTATTTCATATGGCGAAAAAGAACAAAAGTATTCATTTTTTAACATATATCCGAGATATTTAGGTAACACCAATAAAAAAGTATCTCAGGTTGTGAACGTTACGGTATTATGTGATTAGTCCTCCAAAAATAATTATCACTTTCAAGAACACATTATTGATGGACATCTCAACAGTAAGAGAATGTATCAATAGATTATCAAAACATCATCTGCATGGAAAGAGAAGTCATTTCACTCTCTCTGTCCTTATTCTTAGATATAATAGTAACGGTTCATAGTTGTAACAAGCAACAGTAATATTGAAACATAGTATTACATTTCCAAAATACACAATATAAGGAAATTATAACTTTATATCACAACATATACTAGATAATACGAAAATAGAGATCCGCTTTGTTGTATGATTAAAGTTGAACATTAATTTTAAAACATCAGAGTCGGTAGTTGAAGACAAAAAAAATATCTTTATTGATATCTGGCGAGATTGCATAAGCCTTACAAAGTTACAGCTGATGATGAAAAAGTATATGACATTTATGTAGAATGTCATTACCGGGAATATACACACACTATATTTTAACAGTACATATATGTTGCACACGAACATGTAATGAGTGCACACGATGATACACAAGCATCACTGCACACGGTTGATTTTGTATTACGTATAAACAAAATACATATCTATTTTTAAAAAAAAACAATCGTGCTATCTCCTATTGTTTCTATCTCTGAAATAGGTTGTAACAGACAAAGATTGTATAATTATCCATCAGGAAGTATTGACATGACAGGGGATTACATCTTTTGGGTGTGTTTACATATTCGGAAAACATATGCGTCTTAGCTTACGTCATTTATACCGACATAATGAAATGTTGCATTCAGTCTAATCATGTCGAGTTACATATCAGTCACTCCAACAAAGTTGACAATAAACACGTTGTAACATTAAGTATGTGGTGTTACAGGCAAACGTACAAATCTCTAAATGATCATCCCGAAAAAAGTCAGTATGATACTTCCTTATATATCTACTGTAGTTCACGTCGTCGCTTAATAATTTGATAATCTGTAACACTCCTGGTTCATTTAATATCTACTATATTTTTTTTATATTCTATTGTAAGTGGTTGACTTGATAATGACTACCTTTTATATATCTATGATCGAGCTCTAAAATTAGTAATCACATATTTTACTTGGCAACGAATGTAATTAACGTAAGTATAACACTCCTATTGCAGTTATAATAATTTCCTTGTCATCGCTGCACACCACCCTGGTTTTGCTAAGGGCTATCTTCACATAAATATTTTGCGCGTGGTTCTACCTATTCATGTCAATTCACACGATACTTAGTTTGCACACGCATCGTCCCATTTTTGCACACGCATCGTCCCATTTCCTATAAGTATTGTCACATTTTGCAATTGGACAATACCCTGACAATTGATCTATCCAGTAGCGCTGAGAAGATTTTCCGGTTCTGAAGGTACTCTATAGAAGATCTGAAGGTACTCTATCGAAGCCGAAATGTCTGAAGGTAAGTAGAGTGTTTATGTCATGATTACGAACGGTTTCATGTTAGTGTTAAAGTAAATAACATATTAAATTGGTAGCTCTTACCATTGTTTTGGAAAGTACAAAACGTAAGAATATAAGTACGTTTGATAATATAATTTCCAAAAATCGTATTTCCTCGTATTGAGACCAAAACTTGTAGTTGAAATTCATCGGTTGTTCGCTTAAATCTAGGAGTTGAAATTTTGTGATACCTAATTTTTGTAAGTACTTCTCCCGTTTGATTTTTTCACACATTTTTGACATTGATAACCGCATGGTAGTGGTAGGTAGCTATTTTTACTTTGCCTGTCTGCAATTATCATTGTAGATAAACAGGTAGTTGATTGCTGATGGGCCATCCGTCTCAGATATAAACCCCAATTTTCACCGAAAACTGATTTTATTTCCGTTTTCAGCATTCCACTATATTTGGTGATCTTTTTTCAGAATGCTTTCGAACAATAAGACATCGACTTTTCTTTTACGTCTTATAAGAACCCTCGAAGAGTACTGAACGATCGATATGATCATACGGTGCGGTGAAGATGTTTCTACATCTTAATGAAATGTGGAGTATAAAATATTCAGTAAGGGTAGTTAAACATATTAGTAGTATCTGACGACATGGGGATTTCTGTTCAATAGTCTATTGAAAAAGAAACATTTTCCTACCCAACAGTTGCGTTCTGTGCCAAGTGTCCTGGTGGACAGTGCGGCTGCACAGGTGCTGGATGCTGTACTACGAGCTGTAGATGCCCCGGATGTAAAGTAAACTGTGGATGTTTCTGTAAGTTAAAAGTGAATAGTCTTTTATAATAGGACAGTGGAGGTTTCATGAAATACCGACGCTAAGAATAACAGGAACTGCAATCCTACAAAACATTTAAAATTCTAATTGTGCTTTTCTGTGTTACTTGCTTGTTGTATTTGTAACAACGTTGGGGCGATATAGATCTGTACTATGGATACTGTTCAGTTAGATCACTTTGTGATATCATGGTGACAAAAAAGTATCTGTCACTGTCCAAGGCGCTGGGAACAAGCTGAAGGATACATATATCACGTTAATACTGAAGAGGACTTAAACTGATTTACAATACTTTATGTTTCTAATTTAGCGGCAAAGGCCTCAGTTTGTCCCGACGGAATCTGTCAGATGGGAGTTGATTGTGAATGTGGCTGCAAGTGCAGCAGCGCATGTACGTGTCCCAACTGCAAGGCCGGATGCAAATGTGCAGGTAAGTACATTTAACTTCCTTCGCATATAATCATAATCATAGTTGTCAGAGTTACCTTTCTCGCTTTATATTGTCAGTTATACTCCGTTATACCATAAAGGATTGGAAGGAATCCATCAGATTTTATCTGGTTAGTCTAGAAAACATTTTGTTATAAAAGTGAAGCTTTTATGTGTAGAGTTTATTTTTGTATATTTTACTGACAACTTGATTTCATTTCAATTCATTTCACAAATAAATAAGGAACATTATACATGTACAAATAGTAATAAATGTATTGCCTATAATGTCTCAACTTTTACTTGGTGGTACTATTTCTTGTTTGTCAGGTGCCAACTTCGTGTGTACCGCGGACTGCCAGTCTGGGATGTGTTGCGGTACCAGGGCCTGTCAGTGTAGCGGCAAGTGCGCATGTCCAAAATGCAAGTGCAACTGTGCCTCTGGTAAGTACCGGAGTTCTTAGGAACAGGACCTGTCATTGGCTGTTACATAATACCCTATTTATTTAAGGCAAATAGCATGAAGAGTACAAATTCCTGAGAACTTCAGTTGGTACAATGATCCAAGAGTCATGTAATATATCTGGATATATTACTCCGTTGTTTAAAGTTGTATATCTATAGAAGTTACAGTTAAACACAAAAAAAAATTTCAGTATTCAAAAGTGCTTAAGTTATATCTTTACAGGATAAATTTGAAAAACATGTGAAATTTTCTCGTCAGTTTTTGATATCGTTATTTATCAATCAATCATACCTTACAGGGGCATGTGCGTGCGGTGTGGGCTGTACCGGACCTAAAACATGCAGGTGTGGTGCTGGATGTAGGTGTAAGCTGTGAAAAATCACATCTTTGGAGAATATGACACCATACCGGATGGACTGACCAATTCTTTATCAACTCTTTACGGATATATTGATTAACATTTAAATTTGAAACTCCTGCTTGAATCCCTCGTTTTGTGATTGTCAATGACTTTATTTTGGTTATTTTACACACAATTATCTTATTCTAATATAAAATGATTGTTGACAATTGTCATCTTGTTCTCTATCCTTTGGAAATCTTTGAAATGTAAATCTAATAACAATAAATATTGGTATCTGCTTCAATGAGAGTTTTGTAGATTTATTTATGGACATGATGTTATTTTTGTCTTTAACCTCTGAATCCTGCAGGACTAATAGATTGGTCGAAAGAAATGTTTAGATTTAGATGGCGAGGTGCACTAACTCCATAATTCAATAACTTTGATAATATTCATATCTCGCATGGTTTGATAGGAATGTCAAACACGCGTGCATATTCTGACCGTACTACTCTTCATATCAAAACATGTCATACAAGTTACAGTTGGGTGTTCTCTGAATGTCAATAAAAGAAGAATGTGTTGTTTTATGATACAATGGCAAGTCAATTCACCTGGATTGTTACCTGATATTTACCCGTTCCTCACAAAACATTTTTTTATATTTGATGTATGACAATTTTTAAAAAACATTGAAATGTTGTTATTAAAGTAATTTAGATGTATGAAAAATGTTATTATAAAAATTGGAATAAAGAACTTTGACAGTTCAGCACTAAATTATATTCGAAAAACAATTTACTATTAAATTGGATGATACAGTAATATGCAACACAAAGAAAGACTATAAACTGATGTTTTTTCTCTAGAATAAGGGAACAAAAGTAATTGAAACAAAAAAAAGCGCATAATAATGTTGTTGGTTACAAGCACGCATACCGGTAATAATACTGAACGTCAAGACTTGTACGTATTGTAATTATATCCAACAAAAAGAGGATGACTTATATATCTAATTATAATTCAAAATTTAGGAGTTACTGTTAGGTTTTAAAATAATATACCACGCTCCATGGTTTATCGAGAACACGACATAAGCAATTCCACTTTTAAATGATACAAAAACAAAAAACAGGAAAATTGAATAATTGGTGAAGATTCTAAAGAAAGACGCCGCACAGTTATAATGCATAATTAATTATTTATATATATCATTAAATAAAATTTAGTAGTCCCATATTTTGGTTTCATACAAAATACTTTATAAAAATATATATTAAATAGTTTTTAAAAAGATATATTAAATATTTTTTTAAATAATAAGTGAATTTGGTCTGATGTATGTAGGATTCTCAATTTTGAGAAAATATCGTACTTCGGTGATTAGAACTTGCTAAGCAGATTTCAGTTTTACAAATATAGAATAGCGATATTTTTCTATATCACTTTGCTATATTCTATATTAAAACCTATTATAATTTCTTAAAATTACTATTAAATGATCACACAAAAAACTTATTTTGTACTTAGTAACCATTAATTCATAGTGGAAACTGGCAAACGGAATGATGCAGGATACCAAAATAAAATTGTCCTCATTTTTATTATAATGCCATAGATGTCCCAAATATATCAAGCTGAAAGCTAATGTCAGTTATCAGCTGAACATAAGAAAATTATCAAAATACCATTAAATATCTCCAAATGCAATTAAGTTGATAAAACTCAGGAATCTCAGTCATAATAGAACCTTAAAATAATTCAGCAACGTATGATATGATAGAACATGGGATGTGAAATGATGCATTAGGTTCCTCTATATTTTTCATGGTGAAAGAGAACAATTTTTTTTTACATATATCCGAGATATTTAGGTAAGGTTATTGAACAATTATTATAATGGAAATCAGCATTGGAAATTTATTTATAAACAATTATTTGAAATCTGATAAAATCAATCAATCAAATAATATTTACGAAGTCAAAATTTGATTTTAAGTTTTAAAGGTAAACTTAACTGCTGGAATGGAAACTAATTAAGGGAAAAGATTATAATCCCTGTCAAAACTAATTGCCCTGTAGGGAAATTCCAAATGCTGGCTTTCAGAGATACTCCTCAAACCTGGGGAACCACTAGGAGAGTCTCCGACATGAAGTCTCAAAAATTTGGAACCACCTTATATAACTACTTAACCTATACTGAGAGCTTGAGATGTCTTATCTGTTGAAGGCCGAAGGCGGAGTGGATGTGAAATAAATACGTATATGAATAAAAAAGAACAAAGCATGTCCTATGGAAATAAAACAGAGCGTTTTAAAGTGTCAGAACATTACACTATATTGCGAGTGTTGTCCTGTTATCATCTATCTTATATTTCAAATACAGATCTACAACAATCCATTTTTCTTGTTTCACCAATAGCTGAAATTGCATCAATAAATAACTGTTAACAAGACGAAATAAAATACACAAAGCACAGTTCAAAGCATGGAATGATGGGTGATTTCTGTTCTTAAGTGTGTATATAGAATATACTTTATATAATTACTAATTCACTGTATAATCATCCCGTGTTCGTGATATAACAGTCTTGCCAACATGAATCCCCATAACAATACAATGACATTGCAATTATGTACCTTTAACCATATTAAAGGATGCTCGTTTGCAATAATCAAGGGAAGTGATTAATGCTCTTGGCAACTGATGTGCTAGTGATCAAAACATTGCGTGCCAATATTACTGTACTTAGGTCTCTGGTTCGGTGACTATGCTCATATGAATTTGGCTGTGAAAAAAACTGTCAAAATCTGCTAATCGAGTCCTTAATTTCTCAGGTACCTATTTTAATGTTGTATTACCATATGACACTTGGATAAAATAAATTTAAAATACCTATAAATGTCAACAGGTTGTGAACATTACGGTATCATGTGATAAGTCCTCCAAAAATAACGATCACTTTCAAGAACACATTATTGATGGACATCTCAACAGTAAGAGAATGTATCAATAGATTATCAAAATATCATCTGCATGGAAAGAGAAGTCATTTCACTCTCTCTGTCCTTATTCTTAGATATAATAGTAATGGTTAATAGTTGTAACAAGCAACAGTAATATTGAAACATAGTATAACATTTCTAAAACACACAATATAAGGAAATTATAACTTCATACCACAACATATACTAGATAATACGAAAATAGAGATCGTCAGACCCGCTTTGTTGTATGATAAACGGTGAACATTAATTTTAAAAATTCACTGTCGGTAGTTGAAGACAAAAACATACATTTATTGATATATGGCAGTTGTTTCGGCAAGATTGTATAAGCCTTGAAACTAATGATGAAAAAAGCAAATGACATTTATGTAGAATGTCTTTATCGGGATTATACACACACTATAGTTTAACAGTACATATATGTTGCACACGAACATGTAATGAGTGCACACGATGATACACAAGCATCACTGCACACGGTTGATTTTGTATTACGTATTAACAAAGTACATATCTATTTTTTAACAAAAACAATCGTGCTATATCCTATTGTTTCTATCTCTAAAGTATGTTGTTACAGACAAAGATGGTATAATTTTCCTCCATCAGGAAGTATTAACATGACAGGGTTTTATCTTTTGGGTGTGTTTACATATTCGGAAAAAATATGCGTCTTAGATCACGTCATTTATACCGATATAATGAAATGCTGCATTCAGTCTAATCATGTCGAGTTACATATCAGTCACTCCAACAAAGTTGACAATAAACACGTTGTAACATTAAGTCTGTGGTGTTACAGGCAAACGTACAAATCTCTAAATGATCATCCCGAGAAAAGTCAATATGATACTTCCTTATACATCTATTGTAGTTCACGCCGCCGCTTAATAATTTGATAATCTGTAATATTCCTGATTCATTTAAAATCTACTTTATTTTCTATATTCTATTGTAAGTGGTTGACTTGATAATGACTACCTTGTATATATCTATGATCGAGCTCTAAAATGTAGTAATCACATATTTTACTTGGCAATGCATGTAATTAACGTAAGCATATCACTCCGAGTGCAGTTCCTATAATTTCCTTGTCATCGTTGCACACCACCCTGGTTTTGCTATGGGCTATCTTCACATAAATATTTTGCGCGTGGGTCTACCCATTCATGTCGATTCACACGATACTTAGTTTGCACACGTATCGTCCTATTTCCTATAAGTATTGTCACATTTTGCAATTGGACAATACCCTGACAATTGATCTATCCAGTAGTGCTGAGAAGATTTTCTGGTTCTGAAGGTACTCTATAGAAGGTCTGAAGGTACTCTATCGAAGCCGAAATGTCTGAAGGTAAGTAGAGTGTTTATGTCATGATTACGAACGGCTTCATGTCAGTATTAAAGTAAATAACTTATTGATTTGGTAGCTCATACCATTGCTTGGAAAGTACAAAACATTAGAATATACGTACGTTTGATAATATAATTTCCAAAAGTCACTTCACGCCAGAGCGTGTTTGCTAGTAGTAAGAACAAAACTTGTAGGTGAAATCAATCTGTTGTTCGCTTAAGGCTATGAGCTGAACATTTTTGATACCTGATTTCTGTAAGCACTTCTCCCGTTTGACGTCTTCACACATTTTTGACATGGATGAACGCATGGTAGCGGCTATTTCGGTTGGCATGTCTGAAATTGTTATTTTAGATAAACAGGTAGTTGATTGCTCATGGGCCATCCGTCTCAGAAATAAACCCTAACTTTCACCTAAAGTTATATTTTCGTTTTCAGCATTCCTCTACTTTCGGTGATTTTTTAAATGCTTTCGAACAATTAGACGTCGATTGTTCTTTTGTGTCTTAATAGTACCATCGAAGAGTACAAAACGATCGATATAACAACAAGGTGCGGCGAAGATTTATCTAATATTCAGTAAGGGTAGTTATATTAGTAGTATCTGACGACAAGGGGATTTGTGTTCAATAGTCTATTGAAAAAAAAACATTTTTCTACCCAACAGCTGCGTTCTGTGCCAAGTGTCCTGGTGGACAGTGCGGCTGCACAGGTGCGGGATGCTGTACTACAAGCTGTAGATGCCCCGGATGTAAAGTAAACTGTGGATGTTTCTGTAAGTTAAAAGTGAATAGTCTTATATAATAGGACAGTGGAGGTTTCATGAAATACCGACGCTAAGAATAACAGGAACTGCAATCCTACAAAACATTTAAAATTCTAATTGTGCTTTTCTGTGTTACTTGCTTGTTGTATTTGTAACAACGTTGGGGCGATATAGATCTGTACTATGGATACTGTTCAGTTAGATCACTTTGTGATATCATGGTGACAAAAAAGTATCTGTCACTGTCCAAGGCGCTGGGAACAAGCTGAAGGATACATATATCACGTTAATACTGAAGAGGACTTAAACTGATTTACAATACTTTATGTTTCTAATTTAGCGGCAAAGGCCTCAGTTTGTCCCGACGGAATCTGTCAGATGGGAGTTGATTGTGAATGTGGCTGCAAGTGCAGCAGCGCATGTACGTGTCCCAACTGCAAGGCCGGATGCAAATGTGCAGGTAAGTACATTTAACTTCCTTCGCATATAATCATAATCATAGTTGTCAGAGTTACCTTTCTCGCTTTATATTGTCAGTTATACTCCGTTATACCATAAAGGATTGGAAGGAATCCATCAGATTTTATCTGGTTAGTCTGGAAAACATTTTGTTATAAAAGTGAAGCTTTTATGTGTAGAGTTTATTTTTGTATATTTTACTGACAACTTGATTTCATTTCAATTCATTTCACAAATAAATAAGGAACATTATACATGTACAAATAGTAATAAATGTATTGCCTATAATGTCTCAACTTTTACTTGGTGGTACTATTTCTTGTTTGTCAGGTGCCAACTTCGTGTGTACCGCGGACTGCCAGTCTGGGATGTGTTGCGGTACCAGGGCCTGTCAGTGTAGCGGCAAGTGCGCATGTCCAAAATGCAAGTGCAACTGTGCCTCTGGTAAGTACCGGAGTTCTTAGGAACAGGACCTGTCATTGGCTGTTACATAATACCCTATTTATTTAAGGCAAATAGCATGAAGAGTACAAATTCCTGAGAACTTCAGTTGGTACAATGATCCAAGAGTCATGTAATATATCTGGATATATTACTCCGTTGTTTAAAGTTGTATATCTATAGAAGTTACAGTTAAACACAAAAAAAAAATTTCAGTATTCAAAAGTGCTTAAGTTATATCTTTACAGGATAAATTTGAAAAACATGTGAAATTTTCTCGTCAGTTTTTGATATCGTTATTTATCAATCAATCATACCTTACAGGGGCATGTGCGTGCGGTGTGGGCTGTACCGGACCTAAAACATGCAGGTGTGGTGCTGGATGTAGGTGTAAGCTGTGAAAAATCACATCTTTGGAGAATATGACACCATACCGGATGGACTGACCAATTCTTTATCAACTCTTTACGGATATATTGATTAACATTTAAATTTGAAACTCCTGCTTGAATCCCTCGTTTTGTGATTGTCAATGACTTTATTTTGGTTATTTTACACACAATTATCTTATTCTAATATAAAATGATTGTTGACAATTGTCATCTTGTTCTCTATCCTTTGGAAATCTTTGAAATGTAAATCTAATAACAATAAATATTGGTATCTGCTTCAATGAGAGTTTTGTAGATTTATTTATGGACATGATGTTATTTTTGTCTTTAACCTCTGAATCCTGCAGGACTAATAGATTGGTCGAAAGAAATGTTTAGATTTAGATGGCGAGGTGCACTAACTCCATAATTCAATAACTTTGATAATATTCATATCTCGCATGGTTTGATAGGAATGTCAAACACGCGTGCATATTCTGACCGTACTACTCTTCATATCAAAACATGTCATACAAGTTACAGTTGGGTGTTCTCTGAATGTCAATAAAAGAAGAATGTGTTGTTTTATGATACAATGGCAAGTCAATTCACCTGGATTGTTACCTGATATTTACCCGTTCCTCACAAAACATTTTTTTATATTTGATGTATGACAATTTTTAAAAAACATTGAAATGTTGTTATTAAAGTAATTTAGATGTATGAAAAATGTTATTATAAAAATTGGAATAAAGAACTTTGACAGTTCAGCACTAAATTATATTCGAAAAACAATTTACTATTAAATTGGATGATACAGTAATATGCAACACAAAGAAAGACTATAAACTGATGTTTTTTCTCTAGAATAAGGGAACAAAAGTAATTGAAACAAAAAAAAGCGCATAATAATGTTGTTGGTTACAAGCACGCATACCGGTAATAATACTGAACGTCAAGACTTGTACGTATTGTAATTATATCCAACAAAAAGAGGATGACTTATATATCTAATTATAATTCAAAATTTAGGAGTTACTGTTAGGTTTTAAAATAATATACCACGCTCCATGGTTTATCGAGAACACGACATAAGCAATTCCACTTTTAAATGATACAAAAACAAAAAACAGGAAAATTGAATAATTGGTGAAGATTCTAAAGAAAGACGCCGCACAGTTATAATGCATAATTAATTATTTATATATATCATTAAATAAAATTTAGTAGTCCCATATTTTGGTTTCATACAAAATACTTTATAAAAATATATATTAAATAGTTTTTAAAAAGATATATTAAATATTTTTTTAAATAATAAGTGAATTTGGTCTGATGTATGTAGGATTCTCAATTTTGAGAAAATATCGTACTTCGGCGAATAGAACTTGCTAAGCAGATTTCAGTTTTACAAATATAGAATAGCGATATTTTTCTATATCACTTTGCTATATTCTATATTAAAACCTATTATAATTTCTTAAAAGTACTATTAAATGATCACACAAAAAACTTATTGTGTACTTAGTAACCATTAATTCATAGTGGAAACTGGCAAACGGAATGATGCAGGATACCAAAATAAAATTGTCCTCATTTTTATTATAATGCCATAGATGTCCCAAATATATCAAGCTGAAAGCTAATGTCAGTTATCAGCTGAACATAAGAAAATTATCAAAATACCATTAAATATCTCCAAATGCAATTAAGTTGATAAAACTCAGGAATCTCAGTCATAATAGAACCTTAAAATAATTCAGCAACGTATGATATGATAGAACATGGGATGTGAAATGATGCATTAGGTTCCTCTATATTTTTCATGGTGAAAGAGAACAATTTTTTTTTTACATATATCCGAGATATTTAGGTAAGGTTATTGAACAATTATTATGATGGAAATCAGCATTGGAAATTTATTTATAAACAATTATTTGAAATCTGATAAAATCAATCAATCAAATAATATTTACGAAGTCAAAATTTAATTTTAAGTTTTAAAGGTAAACTTAACTGCTGGAATGGAAACTAATTAAGGGAAAAGATTATAATCCCTGTCAAAACTAATTGCCCTGTAGGGAAATTCCAAATGCTGGCTTTCAGAGATACTCCTCAAACCTGGGGAACCACTAGGAGAGTCTCCGACATGAAGTCTCAAAAATTTGGAACCACCTTATATAACTACTTAACCTATACTGAGAGCTTGAGATGTCTTATCTGTTGAAGGCCGAAGGCGGAGTGGATGTGAAATAAATACGTATATGAATAAAAAAGAACAAAGCATGTACTATGGAAATAAAACAGAGCGTTTTAAAGTGTCAGAACATTACACTATATTGTGAGTGTTGTCCTGTTATCATCTATCTTATATTTCAAATACAGATCTACCACAATCCATTTTTCTTGTTTCACCAACAGCTGAAATTGCATCAATAAATAACTGTTAACAAGACGAAATAAAATACACAAAGCACAGTTCAAAGCATGGAATGATGGGTGATTTCTGTTCTTAAGTGTGTATATAGAATATACTTTATATAATTACTAATTCACTGTATAATCCTCCCGTGTTCGTGATATAACAGTCTTGCCAACATGAATCCCCATAACAATACAATGACATTGCAATTATGTACCTTTAACCATATTAAAGGATGCTCGTTTGCAATAATCAAGGGAAGTGATTAATGCTCTTGGCAACTGATGTGCTAGTGATCAAAACATTGCGTGCCAATATTACTGTATTTAGGTCTCTGGTTCGGTGACTATGCTCATATGAATTTGGCTGTGAAAAAAACTGTCAAAATCTGCTAATCGAGTCCTTAATTTCTCAGGTACCTATTTTAATGTTGTATTACCATATGACACTTGGATAAAATAAATTAAAAATACTTATAAATGTCAACAGGTTGTGAACATTACGGTATCATGTGATAAGTCCTCCAAAAATAACGATCACTTTCAAGAACACATTATTGATGGACATCTCAACAGTAAGAGAATGTATCAATAGATTATCAAAACATCATCTGCATGGAAAGAGAAGTCATTTCACTCTCTCTGTCCTTATTCTTAGATATAATAGTAATGGTTAATAGTTGTAACAAGCAACAGTAATATTGAAACATAGTATAACATTTCTAAAACACACAATATAAGGAAATTATAACTTCATACCACAACATATACTAGATAATACGAAAATAGAGATCGTCAGACCCGCTTTGTTGTATGATAAAAGGTGAACATTAATTTTAAAAATTCACTGTCGGTAGTTGAAGACAAAAACATACATTTATTGATATATGGCAGTTGTTTCGGCAAGATTGTATAAGCCTTGAAACTAATGATGAAAAAAGCAAATGACATTTATGTAGAATGTCTTTATCGGGATTATACACACACTATAGTTTAACAGTACATATATGTTGCACACGAACATGTAATGAGTGCACACGATGATACACAAGCATCACTGCACACGGTTGATTTTGTATTACGTATTAACAAAGTACATATCTATTTTTTAACAAAAACAATCGTGCTATATCCTATTGTTTCTATCTCTAAAGTATGTTGTTACAGACAAAGATGGTATAATTTTCCTCCATCAGGAAGTATTAACATGACAGGGTTTTATCTTTTGGGTGTGTTTACATATTCGGAAAAAATATGCGTCTTAGATCACGTCATTTATACCGATATAATGAAATGCTGCATTCAGTCTAATCATGTCGAGTTACATATCAGTCACTCCAACAAAGTTGACAATAAACACGTTGTAACATTAAGTCTGTGGTGTTACAGGCAAACGTACAAATCTCTAAATGATCATCCCGAGAAAAGTCAATATGATACTTCCTTATACATCTATTGTAGTTCACGCCGCCGCTTAATAATTTAATAATCTGTAACATTCCTGATTCATTTAAAATCTACTTTATTTTTTATATTCTATTGTAAGTGGTTGACTTGATGATGACTACTTTGTATATATCTATGATCGAGCTCTAAAATGTAGTAATCACATATTTTACTTGGCAATGCATGTAATTAACGTAAGCATAACACTCCGAGTGCAGTTCTTATAATTTCCTTGTCATCGTTGCACACCACCCTGGTTTTGCTAAGGGCTATCTTCACATAAATATTTTGCGCGTGGGTCTACCCATTCATGTCGATTCACACGATACTTAGTTTGCACACGTATCGTCCTATTTCCTATAAGTATTGTCACATTTTGCAATTGGACAATACCCTGACAATTGATCTATCCAGTAGTGCTGAGAAGATTTTCTGGTTCTGAAGGTACTCTATAGAAGGTCTGAAGGTACTCTATCGAAACCGAAATGTCTGAAGGTAAGTAGAGTGTTTATGTCATGATTACGAACGGCTTCATGTCAGTATTAAAGTAAATAACTTATTGATTTGGTAGCTCATACCATTGCTTGGAAAGTACAAAACATTAGAATATACGTACGTTTGATAACATAATTTCCAAAAGTCACTTCACGCCAGAGCGTGTTTGCTAGTAGTAAGAACAAAACTTGTAGGTGAAATCAATCTGTTGTTCGCTTAAGGCTATGAGTTGAACATTTTTGATACCTGATTTCTGTAAGCACTTCTCCCGTTTGACGTCTTCACACATTTTTGACATGGATGATCGCATGGTAGCGGCTATTTCGGTTGGCATGTCTGAAATTGTTATTTTAGATAAACAGGTAGTTGATTGCTCATGGGCCATCCGTCTCAGAAATAAACCCTAACTTTCACCTAAAGTTATATTTTCGTTTTCAGCATTCCTCTACTTTCGGTGATTTTTTTTAAATGCTTGCGAACAATTAGACGTCGATTGTTCTTTTGTGTCTTAATAGTACCATCGAAGAGTACAAAACGATCGATATAACAACAAGGTGCGGCGAAGATTTATCTAATATTCAGTAAGGGTAGTTATATTAGTAGTATCTGACGACAAGGGGATTTGTGTTCAATAGTCTATTGAAGAAAAAAAAAATTTTCTACCCAACAGCTGCGTTCTGTGCCAAGTGTCCTGGTGGACAGTGCGGCTGCACAGGTGCGGGATGCTGTAATACAAGCTGTAGATGCCCCGGATGTAAAGTAAACTGTGGATGTTTCTGTAAGTTAAAAGTGAATAGTCTTTTATAATAGGACAGTGGAGGTTTCATGAAATACCGACGCTAAGAATAACAGGAACTGCAATCCTACAAAACATTTAAAATTCTAATTGTGCTTTTCTATGTTTGCTTGTTGTATTTGTAACAACGTTGGGGCGATATAGATCTGTACTATGGATACTGTTCAGTTAGATCACTTAGTGATATCATGGTGACAAAAAAGTATCTGTCACTGTCCAAGGCGCTGGGAACAAGCTGAAGGATACATATATCACGTTAATACTGAAGAGGACTTAAACTGATTTACCATACTTTATATTTCTAATTTTAGCGGCAAAGGCCTCAGTTTGTCCCGACGGAATCTGTCAGATGGGAGTTGATTGTGGATGTGGCTGCAAGTGCAACAGCGCATGCCAGTGTCCTTACTGCAAGGCCGGATGCAAATGTGCAGGTAATTTTAACTCTCTTGGCATATAATCATAATTACAGTTGTCAGAGTTACCTTCCTCGCTTTTTATTGTCAGTTATATTCCGATATGCCCTAATGGATTGGAAAGAATCTATCAGATTTTATCTGGTTAGTGTGGAAAACATTTGGTTATAAAAGTGAAGTTTATTTTTGTATATTTTACTGACAACTTAATTTTTATTTCAATTTATTTCACAAATAAATGAGGAACATTATACATGTACAAATAGTAATAAACATATTGCCTATATTTCGCAAACAGAGAAATGTTCCAACTTTTACTTGGTGGTACTATTTCTTGTTTGTCAGGTGCCAACTTCGTGTGTACCGCGGACTGCCAGTCTGGGATGTGTTGCGGTACCAGCGCATGTCAGTGTAGCGGCAAGTGCGCATGCCCAAAGTGCAAGTGCAACTGCGCATCTGGTAAGTACCGGAGTTCTTAGGAACAGGACCTGTCAGTGGCTGTTACATAATACCCTATTTATTTAAGGCAAATAGCATGAAGAGTACAAATTCTTGGGAACTTCAGTTGGTACAATGATCCAAGAGTCATGTAATATATCTGAATATATTATTCCGTTGTTTAAAGTTGTATATCTATAGAAGTTACAGTTAAATACAAAAAATAAATTTTATATATTCAAAAGTGTTTATAGTTATATCTTTACACAGATAAATTTGAATAACGTGTAAAAATTGCTCATCAGTTTTTGATATCATTATTTATCAATCAATCATACCTTACAGGGGCATGTGCGTGTGGTACGGGCTGTACTGGACCTAAAACATGCAGGTGTGGTGCTGGATGTAGGTGTAAGCTGTGAGCGATCATGTCTTTGGAGAATATGACACCATACCGGATGGACTGACCAATTCTTTATCAACTCTTTACGGATATATTGATTAACATTCAAATTTAAAAGTCCTGCATGAATCCCTCGTTTTGTGAGTGTCATTGACTTTGTTTTGGTTATTTTACACTCAATTATCTTATTCTAATATAAAATTATTGTTGACAATTATAATCTTGTTTTCTTTGCTTTGGAAATCTTTAACATGTAAATCGAATTGCAATAAATAATGGCATATGTTTTTATGAGAGTTTTGTAGATTTGTTACGGACATGATGTTATTGTTGTCTTTAACTTCTGAATCCTGCAGGATTCGGTTTCAGTATGAAATGTAGACGCTCAGGTTCTTCCCTAACCAGTTTGGTGTACTACAAAAACGTACAATAAGTACAATGTGCACCATTTAGACTATTACCTTTGTATTTTGGTGTAATCATAGGCGAGTCCATAAAGGAGGAGAGGGGCACCTTCTAAAACTTGTAAGCGATCATCATTTGCAAGAACAGTAAGCTTTAATTCCATTTCAAATGCAGAGACCTATGGCACTTTAAATCACATAAAAGTGAAAACATTGTCTATGAGAAAATAGACGTTGGAAAGTAAATTGTAATTAGCATTACCCTTGAGTTATTTCGCTGACAAATCTTAATCAACCGTATCGTAACGTATATGCATCACAGTCCGTTTAGTTCTTGAATTTATTGGTAAACTTACCGTATCAAAATTACTCTACCTTGTATTTTTTAAAGTTCTGGATATTGTCCTCCACCACTGTGTACAATGCAATCGGTGATTATTTGTTTAATTCGAAGCTAGTACGATTATCAAATGTATATGTATATAAATTTGGAATACAAAAACAAAACAAAAAAAGCAAATGGAATGGAGACTGTACAAAATACAAAGAGGGTTATTTATTAGTTAACGAAAATATGTGAGTCGTGTAATCCGAAATCCCTGGTCCTCGCTTTTTAATGTTGTTAAATCAGCCATAAACGAAGAAATGGGGTGTCGATGGAAAAGCTGCGTAAATAATGACAGCCTACATAGCGACTTTTAACCAAATTGTAAGATTTTAAAAAGTTTGATTGTGAAAAAGTGTCATGTTGACTTTGAAAATACGTCTGCATGTACGACAACATTTTACATGGGATATACAAGAAAAAATTACCATTGTTATGTGATATCTGACGATAAGCAGCACACACACGCCACCACCACTACCGCCAACACCATTACCACTACACACACCACCACCACCACCACTACCGCCAACACCATTACCACTACACACACGCACATAAACAAAAGAAAGAAAAAAAATCATATCACAGACTTCATATTCATATGAAATGTTTTGTCAGTTCTTCTCCAAATACGACATTTTTTACAGAAATCATGCCGTTGAAAAGAGTGGCATTCAAGCTCATTGGAAGAATTCCGGAAAGTTTTGACTTGATTTAAATAACGTGCAGATGATGAACTTTTCATACACATACCTAATCAGGGGCGTAGATATCTAAGTCCCAGCCTGAATAAAATACATAGCCAGTGGATATAGTTCATAGAGTGGTGGTCAGGTGCAGAGGCATTCTTTACGGACCCCAAAACAAATAAACACAACAAAACCGTTGGTCCTCCTTCTATTATCCAATGAAAGTTTTTATCTTCTAATGTATGCGGTTTTTCTGTGAAAAGTCAGTTGTACGTGGAAAACTCTGTCCATATTGTCTTCTGAGAACTATATATCAAATTTTTAACCAACTCATTCTTCGCCTTTTGCGCAAAATTTTACGTGTATTCCTAGGACTTAAACTATTTTAAGTCCGTGATGTTGCTTGTAAATTATCTGTCAATATCTATATAAAGTTTTATATTTGATCATTTTTACATAATGTTGCGTAAACAATCATGTTACGGCATGATTAAGATTCTTTGATGATGCCATTATTTTTCCCCCTCGTAATATTCCGGACACCGTTCACCGTTTCCTGTACAAATATTATAAGCAATATAAAAAAAATCGGTGTCACTTCCGTGTTTGACTCGCACTACGAAGTTTACATGGATGCCTTGATAACAACCGTCAACAATGTGTCAGCTCTTAAGGTTTATCACATGATAAGGATATTGTTTTCTTTGCACTAATGAAAACCAGGGTAAGGTCATTAGCATGACAATTGAATATGATTTGATGTTAACAGTATTATGATCACATGTGCGGTCTTAAAAAGGTGAAATATACGTGATGCACTAAAACCCGCTGCCTTGTCAAGTCAACGTATTCTAATTCTAATGTGTTTTATCAAACGATAAATCTATATCTGATGAATGTAACTTATCTAGTTAGAAATGTTACTTATAAAATAATGTAAATTAGAGGTCTTTGTCTTCTCTCAGTTACGTAATGCCAAATATGCGTCATAGATTACTTAATACTATGTGTGGAAGTTTCGTGATGTCAATACATTGTAACCAGTTAACGGATCAGGCTTCGACGTCTTTGACTCTGTTGGCAGGGATCACAGATTATCATTATAGACCATGCTTGGTTCCAGTTTGGAACGACAAATATCTATCTTACCCGTCCTGTCACAGATCATGACCAAAAATCGACTTATGTCTACTCATACAGTGGGTCTATATAAAAAAGAACTCCTGTATGTATGCAGCTTGATGTAAGGTCCTACATTGTGATCTATATCAACATTAAGTTTTTTATTACAGCTTAATAAGTGTTACAGCAGCAGTTCATTGTAGCTTGTACATAAATGCAGTCTCCATCACTCACCTGGTTCTGTTGACAGTGTCATGGATTATCATCCCGGAGACCCAGGTTCAAATGCACTTAGCAGGAATATGTTTTTCCCTGCTTTTTCACATTAGTACCCATTGAAATCCCACAGGTTGTGTTGCTGAGAGCCTTGGATTGAGATTTAGACAATCTCTTTTTAAAAACACAAACGGGAGGTGTATAAAGAGTGAGTAATTGTGACTCTCAACTGACAGAACATGTTTTTTTGCTTAGTTGGAAGTGCTGTGAATTATAACATCAGACATCTTCGTTCAATTTTGACTGGGGCAGTTTGAAGGAATGTTTTTCCCTGTTGTGTCACATCGACACCAACAAAATCCTACAGGTGGTGGTATTTTGAATCTCTGGTTGAGATTTAGATAATCTCAAGAAAAACAGGGGGAGTAGTATAAAAGAAACAGGTCAGTGTGATTTATACAGTGATAAATAAGATATATGTCACTCACCTGAGAGAGCATGCTGATTTACCTCAGTTGGCAGTGCTGAGGATTCCTGCTGGGAATTTGATAGGAATATTTTTTCCCTGTCTTTTCACAGAAGAATTAAAACAAGGAACTTTCAGACTTCAACGATGTCTTTGTATGACAAATATTTTAACAAAGTTATTTTTTAAATGTGAAACATCAAATAATCACATTCATCCAAAACTATTAATTGATAACCTAAAACCAAATTACAAAATAAAGGCCAAATTGATCCTGTAGATTCTCTGACATGGGAAAGACGGAAAATAATATGAAAACTTTGGGATTGTTTTTTTTATTGAATTTGACAGTTGTTTTCTCAAAACGGAAATGCTTCATCATTAGACTTATCAAATGAAATATCAATTTTGCTTTGTCTTTTTGTTTAGATGGAGTAGAGAAGGGAAGGAAGAGGGCTGTCTCTATGGTGAGTCACAGCTATTGAGATGAGTACAAACGGCACAACACCAGCAGCTGAATCTGATGGTAAGAAGTTTTTTGACAGATTGTTTTGATGTCTCAAAAGTAATTCTTGGTGAAATGTTTTGCAAAAACATAAAAAAGATCAATATCTCATCATATAAATGCCGTGCTTGCAATAAATATATTGCCTTATTGTGTTCTGTTTAAATATCTCAATTAATACATGTAAGTTTTTTTCAGCTGTGGTGCTAAGTGGAGGCGTGATATTTATCATAATATTTGGTGCCACCTCAATATTCTTCTTCTCGATAATGACAGTTGTGTGTGTGGGAGAATTTAAGGAGTATAGGTCAAGACGAAGAAGACCTTCAGGGCCTGTTGAGGTTAGTGAGAAAAAATATTCAGACAATTTTGTTTTGATGAGTTCTTGACAATGATTTCATATGAAAATTAGTTACAATCTAACTCTTCCGATCACAATAGCTTTCTTGTGGCTTTTCGCAACAGATAGGAAATTTGTAAGAAAATCAAATCTAAAACAAAGAAAAAAATGACAAACACATTTGGGATGGATGCTATCCTTTTGAATAATGCATAATGTTTGAAATTAAGGTCATTATCTAAATATTCTGATAAGCTTGTTATTGTTATCTTATTTATTTTAAAAACTGTTTGTTACATCCTGAGTTCATTATGGAATGGACTGAAATAAGTTAATTAACATTCAGGGCACATATCAACCATTGACTAACATGTATGTTGATATCAGAAATCCTTTTTTTTCATTTTGAATGTTTTGTAAACATTTATCATAGTTATTCTCTTTTTCTAACAGAATATAGTATTTATCAGAAGTTTAAACATACCTTGAGGAATATTTGTTTCCAAACATATCGCTGGCATTAGACTTCTATTTTTTTTTTTTTTTTTTATCAGACTGAGCGAAGTTACATATAACATTTACTTTTTTCTCTGAGAAGTCACTAGAATGAATGTATATATTATTGTTTGTATTGTTCTTTTTAACAGAATGGTAATTATCCTAGACAACCACCTCCACTTACTGTGCCCCCAGTAACTAACCCCACAGTTCAGGGAGCAAACTATCCAAGGCAACCAGGTTCAGGGGCAGATAACCGTAGTGACAATAATTCTGTAGGGAGACCAGTAGAAGAAATTGTAACATCTAATCAACCAAATGCTGTGAATAAATCAGTGATAGTGAGTGAGGAGGGAAATCAAGGAACCAGCACAAATGGAGACATAGTTGTACTTCACGAAACACCTAAGAAAAAACACACTCAACTGAAACCACTGGAACTGGCCAAACCAGGGACAGATAACACTAACCCAGAGACTATATTTTCACCAAGACCAACAACAATGGATGGTTTGAGTACAGTGGCCTTTATCCAACCTACACCTCCCCTACCATCCATATCTTCCAACATCAGCCAGTCAGATGTCACCCCTGTTGTCAGCTCCTAGAAGTTTTGACAAAAATACATTGGGATCAATGTCACTTAAGTGTTTGATTTATTTAAACCTATACCATATATGTCATTATTTCATGTCATATTTTCTATATATAGGTGTCCTTGTATTGACATCAGACTTTATTTCATTTAGATGATTATACAAACAGTTGAAAATGACATTACTTCCATTATAATTGAACAAAATCAGTAAGATGTGGTTTTGTGGAAGGATTTGATTAGTAACTGATTGTGTTTTATTGAAACCTGATTAGTATGATAACCTCTTCAGGTATCAGCACTACCACGCACCATAGTAGGTGTAGATGTCCTTGTACTGAAGCAGATATTATGGTAGTCTGCAGGGCATATGCTCCTAGACTGTAGGGGAGATTGAGGTAGACAGAGGGACACTTGTCCCTGTACTGTAGTAGAGATTTAGGTAGTCCAAGGGACAGTTGTCCCTATATCATAATTGAGACTGAGTAAGCTGGAGGGACAGGCATCCCTGTAGGGTAGTAATGATTGAGGAGGTCAGGGTGACACTTTCCCATTTACTTATGTGGAGAGTTAGGTAGTCAAAGGGACACTTATCCTTGTACTGGAATGGAGATGGAGGTAGTTAAGAGAAACAGTTTCCCTCATACTTTAGTGGATATTTAGGTAGTCAGAGGGACACTTGTCCTTGTACTGTAGTGGAAATTGGGTATTCGGTGGGGCACTTGTCCCTATAGTGTAGTGATGATAGAGGTAGACGGAGCCACACTTGTCCCTGTACTGTAGTGGGTATTGAGGTAGTCAGAGGCACACTTGTCCCTGTACTGTGGTGGGTATTGCGGTAGTCAGAGGCACACTTGTCCCTGTACTGTAGTGGGTATTGAGGTAGTCAGAGGCACACTTGTCCCTGTACTGTAGTGGGTATTGAGGTAGTCAGAGGCACACTTGTCCCTGTACTGTGGTGGGTATTGAGGTATCAGAGGCACACTTTTCCCTATACTACAGTGAAGATTGAGGTAATAGGAGGGATACTTGTCCCTGAACTGCTGTAGTCTTTCCGGCAATCCATGAAATACAGGTATTCAGGTGTGTTATTGCCATGTTGTGTTTAACATGTTTTAACTACTTTTTTAAGATACAGCTATTAGCAATTTTGACCTGTTTATTAAACATTCCAGAGAAGAATGATTATTTGTATAAAACAAAAATTGTTGTGTATGAATATTTTAGTCTGTTATCCACTTTATTGCTCATCAGCAGCAGATGGTGAGCTTTTGATTTTGATAATAATCAGAAAAGAATTGGTCAACAGGGGACCATATTGGATTTGGCAGTTGAAGATTATAATTGCTATTCTATTTCTTGTAAGGAATTTTCAATTTCTTAGAATTAAGTACAAAAAAAGAGTGAGGAAAATGAAAGAAAATGCATGATTCTTTTAAAGAACATATAAAGTTGAAACGATGGTGGGCACCAAGATCTCTCTGGGATCTCATATTTTAATTTTAGGTTTCTAATCTTTCCTTTATTTATCCAAAGTTTGGGTACTGTGATATTAGAATTCTATTATTGTGAACAATATTCATTTGTGTGTCTGACCATCTTATATAATGCATAATAATTATGAATATGAAAGATAATTTTTACTATGTTTTTCCTTTTAATTTCTTCAGAATATCTTGTCTTGGTAGAACTTGTGGATGTTCTTTCCAGTTCTGTCATAAGATCATGTGAAATCAACTATATTTAAACATTGTTTAAGAATAAGGTCCTTTAAACAACTGCAATGTATTTTGGAGAACAAGGTCCTTTCCACAACGACAGTTTATGTTTGAAAATAAGTTCATTTAAACAATTGCTGTGTATGTTGAAGAACAAGGTCCTTTAAACAGCAGCATCGAATGTTAGAGAATGAGGACTTTTAAACAATGCCTCTGTATGTTAGAGAATAAGTTCATTTAAACAATTGCTGTGTATGTTGAAGAATAAGGTCCTTTAAACAATGCTGGTGTGTGTTGGAGAATAATGTCCTTTCAACAAAGGCAATGTATTTTTGAGAATAAGTTCATTTTAAAAGTGTCTATGTATGTTGGCAAATTAGGTCATTTAAACAATGACTATGTATGTCTTTGAATAAGGTCCATTAACCAGCATCAGTGTATGTTGGAGAATAAGGTCCTTTAAACAGCATCTGTGTGTGTTGGAGAATAAGATCCTTTACACAGCACTATTGTGTGTTGGAGAATAAGGTCCATTAACCAGCATCAGTGTATGTTGGAGAATAAGGTCCTTTACACAGCACTATTGTGTGTTGGAGAATAAGGTCCATTAACCAGCATCAGTGTATGTTGGAGAATAAGGTCCATTAACCAGCATCAGTGTATGTTGGAGAATAAGGTCCTTTACACAGCACTATTGTGTGTTGGAGAATAAGGTCCATTAACCAGCATCAGTGTATGTTGGAGAATAAGGTCCATTAACCAGCATCAGTGTATGTTGGAGAATAAGGTCCTTTACACAGCACTATTGTGTGTTGGAGAATAAGGTCCATTAACCAGCATCAGTGTATGTTGGAAAATAAGGTCCTTTACACAGCACTATTGTGTGTTGGAGAATAAGGTCCATTAACCAGCATCAGTGTATGTTGGAGAATAAGGTCCTTTAAACAGCATCTGTGTGTGTTGGAGAATAAGGTCCTTTACACAGCACTATTGTGTGTTGGAGAATAAGGTCCTTTAAACAGCATCAGTGTATGTTGGAGAATAAGGTCCTTTAAACAGCATCTGTGTGTGTTGGAGAATAAGGTCCTTTACACAGCACTATTGTGTGTTGGAGAAAAAGGTCCTTTACACTGCATCAGTATGTGTTGGAGAATAAGGTCCTTTAAACAGCATCTGTGTGTGTTGGAGAATAGAGTCTTTTAAGCATTATTGTATTTTGGGACATTAAGGTCATTTAAGTATTGATAGCTATTATTTATTAGATTTCCCTGATGAAATATTGTGATTGGTTTTCTTAGTAGTGGATGTTTCTTTCTGAAATTGCATTTGTAGGGTCCCCTTGATCTTTAAACAGCATGGTTGATACACAGCTATCATGGATTTGATAGAAAAAGATAATAATTTTTATATTTCTAAAGTGGAAATTTTAAATGTCATATCAGTAAAAACAAAAACAGAGTAAAAAGCAAACAAGAAGGGAGAAGATCCTATTATTTAAGAACAAAAAATATGAAACAAATGTGGTCACTAAGATCTTTCTGGGATCTCTTATTATACTTAAAATTCTAAGCTGGATTGTAATTCAATATTTCCCATGGAGCATCGTCGGTATGGATGTTTTGGATAACCTGATTTCCTGTTAAAAGGTTTGAAATAAACCATAGTGTTCAATATTTCACAAACGCTATTTAAATTGAAATTCTCCCTCCACATCAAAACCAATATCTAGTCGGAGGAGGATCAATTGATCTTGTTAACCTGATATTGTTACATTGTAATACACTTTATTTGAAAGATTTTGCTGATTTCTCATATATTTACAATTGTTCATCTCTTTACTGCACTAAATTCTGATACAAACGGGACTTGGTATTGAAAATATTATATTAATTTTTTAAATGTTTTTAGTTGATATTGAAATTTGATATTAAAATCCACTTGGCTTTATCGATTATTTCATTCCTGTCACTCTTCCTGTACATTGATGATGGACTATTTACCATTACAGTGTAGTCTTGATTTACTTGTGATGTGAGAAATGATATGTGTGGGACTAGAGACTGTAAGAGATTTTGTAAATATACAATTGGTAAATTATATTGTCAGTTTAATTGTTTGTTATGATATCAACCTCTCCTGTAAAGTTGTTCATATTTAGAAATGGTTTATCAGTGTTATAACATGTTGGGCTAGTAAATTAGAGTATAAGGTTTCTTTTTGCGTGTTAATTGAAAAATTTTGAGAGCTGTAATCTACAATATATACATTTGTATATATACATATACGTATACGTACCATAATCATGTGTCCAAGATACATTTCATAAATATGTTTGTATTTAATGTCTTTTTTACACCATTTGTTAAACTGCTGGGTTGAAAGTACAAGTATTTCAAAAACCTTGGATTTTATCTAGAGTGGATAGACTGCATTGGTTTTGATGTTACCAGTTGTGATAAATATTAGAAAGTCATAAAGATGAATTAGTTCTCATGTAACTGGAATGTAAGATGCACATGGCATTTAAAACAATAAGTCGAAAGTCTATAATTCACTTGCTTCCTTGGTGATGAGCTGTTTCATTAAGCAAGGTTAGTCACATACTGAATGGTACCTGGGTTATTGTAACCACATACTTAATGGTGCGTGGGTCATTGTAACCACATACTGAATGGTACCTGGGTCATTTAACCACATACTGAATGGTACCTGGGTCATTTTTACCACATACTGAATCGTACCTGAATTATTGTAACCACATACTGAATGATACCTGCGTTATTGTAACCACATACTGAATGGTACCTGGGTCATTGTAACCACATACTGAATGATACCAGGGTTATTGTAACCACATACTGAATGGTACCTGGGTCATTGTAACCACATACTGAATGATACCTGCGTTATTGTAACCACATACTGAATGGTACCTGGGTCATTGTAACCACATACTGAATGATACCAGGGTTATTGTAACCACATACTGAATGGTACCTGGGTTATTGTAACCACATACTGAATCGTACCTGAATTATTGTAACCACATACTGAATGATACCAGCATTATTGTAACCACATACTGAATGGTACCTGGGTCATTGTAACCACATACTGAATGATACCAGGGTTATTGTAACCACATACTGAATGGTACCTGGGTCATTGTAACCACATACTGAATGATACCAGGGTTATTGTAACCACATAATGAATGATACCTGGGTTATTGTAACCACATACTGAATGATACCTGGGTTATTGTAACCACATACTGAATGATACCTGGGTTATTGTAACCACATACTGAATGGTACCTGGGTCATTGTAACCTTATACTGAATGATACCAGGGTTATTGTAACCACATACTGAATGGTACCTGGTTATTGTAACCACATACTGTATGGTACCTGGGTCATTGTAACCACATACTGTATGGTACCTGGGTCATTGTAACCAAATACTGAATGGTACCTGGGTCATTGTAACCACATACTGAATGATACCTGGGTTATTGTAACCACATACTGAATGGTACCTGGGTCATTGTAACCAAATACTGAATGGTACCTGGTTATTGTAATTGCAAACTGAATGATACCTGGGTTTTTGTAACCACATACTGAATGGTACCTGGGTTATTGTAACCACATACTGAATGGTACCTGGGTTATTGTAACCACATACTGAATGGTACCTGGGTTTTTGTAACCACATATGAATGGTACCTGGGTAATTGTAACCACATACTGAATGATACCTGGGCTATTGTAACCACATACTGAATGGTAACTGGGTTATTGTAACCACATACTGAATGGTACCTGGGTCATTGTAACCACATACTGAATGGTACCTGGTTATTGTAATTGCAAACTGAATGATACCTAGGGTTTTGTAACCACATACTGAATAGTATCTGGGTTATTGTAACCACATACTGAATGGTACCTGGGTCATTGTAACCAAATACTGAATGGTACCTGGTTATTGTAATTGCAAACTGAATGATACCTAGGGTTTTGTAACCACATACTGAATGGTACCTGGGTTATTGTAACCACATACTGAATGGTACCGGGGTTATTGTAACCACATTTGTATGGTACCTGGGTTATTGTAACCACATATGAATGGTAACTGGGTTATTGTAACCACATACTGAATGGTACCTGGGTTATTGTAACCACATTTGTATGGTACCTGGGTTATTGTAACCACATATGAATGGTAACTGGGTTATTGTAACCACATACTGAATGGTACCTGGGTTATTGTAACCACATATGAATGGTACCTGGGTAATTGTAACCTCCCTATATCCAGAATGAAGTCTAATGCATTTCACAGGCGTACAGATAGGCCTAAATATGAAATAATTTTACAGAGCATTCATATATCAGTTGATGAATACATCCATTATGCTGGAGAACCAAAACGTATATATGATAAATGTTATAATATTTTACGTTATTTTTTTTTACATGTTACAACAACATGGTAGTTTCTTTTATATTATGTGTTCTTTTTAATTCGTTGTGAAACAAAAACAACCACAACAGACATGCTTTTGAAATGATGTCAAATACTGTTTGTGTGGTATCCAAATATATCCCGTAATTTAAAGGAATATATATATTTATGCCATATTGTAGTCAGGTTGATATACAAATTGATTCAGTCTTCAATTCACAAGGTACTTTAACATTAGAATTGCCGGTCAAATTTCATTAACTTACCTTTAAGTGGTAGCTAACTTACAAAATACTTTCTACAACAACTTTCGTTTAAGTCATATGGCCGAATGGGATGTTACAAATCATTTTATTCCTTGCTTGACCTTGAGTAAATATAAATTCTTACTAAATCTGAGGGAATTTCTGAAGGGGTCTTAAACATAAAATAAACAAGTTTTTGATTATGGTCACATCGATAAAGAATTATTTCATCTATCAATAAGTACAATTATTCATGCTTAGTTTTAAAATAAAACAGTTGCAGAATTTGGCATTAGAAAAAATCGTTCTTATTTGGAAGTTGTTAATCAATCAGATTAAACCTTCATTACAGTTGATCCCTACTAAGAGATCCCAGTACTAGTAATTTGTCACTAGTATGGAGAACATAATTAGTCATTCTTAATGATTAGCACTTAAAAAGCTGATCATATGAATGAGATGTAAATCATACAATATTATAGTATGGCAGACATCCAAGCATATCACAAGGAAAAAATCCAGTAATTTTACTATGTAAAAACATCCCATTATGTTGATATGAGACAAACGTTAAACGATGTCACTAGATGAGATAATCCACTTGTATCACTAGATAAGCTTTTAGTTACATCACTAGGTCATAAACATCGAGTCATACCGTTTTGTGAGAAACATTCGATCATATTTATATCTGTCTAATTATGTCACAAGGTTACAAATAACATTCAATCATATCATTAGGTAACACATGTGCAATAATATCACAAGGTGAAAAACATCCAAACATATCACAAGATAAACATATCCGATCGCATCACTATAGACGAGACACCCAATCATATCACAAGGTGAAAAACATCCAATCATATCACAAGGTAAAAATATCCAATCGTATCACTATAGACGAGACATCCAACCAATTCACAAGGTGAAAAACATCCAATCGTATAACTATAGGTGGAACATCCAATCATATCACAAGATAAAAACATCCAGTCGTATCACAATAGGTGGAACATCCAATCATATCACAAGGTGAAAAATATCCAGTCGTATCACTATAGGTGGAACATCCAATCATATCACAAGGTGAAAAATATCCAGTCGTATCACTATAGGTGGAATATCCAATCATATCACAAGGTGAAAAACATCCAGTCGTATCACTATAGGTGGAACATCCAATCATATCACAAGGTGAAAAACATCCAGTCGTATCACTATAGGCGAAACATCCAATCATATCACAAGGTGAAAAACATCCAATTATATCACAAGGTGAAAAACATCCAGTCGTATAACTATAGGTGGAACATCCAGTCATATCACAAGATAAAAACATCCAGTCGTATCACTATAGGTGGAACATCCAATCATATCACAAGATAAAAACATGCAGTCGTATCACTGTAGGTGGAACATCCAATCATATCACAAGGTGAAAAACATCCAGTCGTATCACTATATGTGGAACATCCAATCATATTACAAGGTGAAAAAACATCCAGTCGTATCGCTATAGGTGGAACATCCAATCATATCACAAGGTGAAAAACATCCAGTCGTATCACTATAGGTGGAACATCCAATCATATCACAAGGTGAAAAACATCCAGTCGTATCACTATAGGTGGAACATCCAATCATATCACAAGGTGAAAAACATCCAGTCGTATCACTATAGGCGAAACATCCAATCAGATCAAAAGATAAAAACATCCAGTCGTATCACTATAGGTGGAACATCCAATCATATCACAAGGTGAAAAACATCCAGTCGTATCACTATAGGTGGAACATCCAATCATATTACAAGGTGAAAAACATCCAGTCGTATCGCTATAGGTGGAACATCCAATCATATCACAAGGTGAAAAACATCCAGTCGTATCACTATAGGTGGAACATCCAATCATATCATAAGGTAAAAAAAATCCAATCATATCACGAGGTGAGACATGTTAAATCTATGTGTTACTACTTTTATACCAGCCGGCCAGGACATGGTTGTTGTCATTACTACATGCAGGATCAGTTAGAAAATACTGGTTTCAAGCAAACTGAATTTGTGTATGTTATTCTAATATTTCACTTAATCACACTGCTATTCAAATACCAGTTGTTCATGCCAATATCTAGGTACAGATTAGGAAGTCGATTCTAACACCAAACAATAGCAAAGTAATCGAAACATTTGTATGTGGTGACACTAGCCATATGTAAAGTGATATACAGAACGTAATTAGGGTTTGGTTTCGATAATATCGCTTGCTTAGAAATGTTTGAAATCCCATTGCAGGTTGTTCGTTTACATGAAATCCTATGGTCAGCTTTATGATGTTAGTATTATAAGACGTAGTCACGTGTACGCCGACATGAAACCCCATCGCCAGGTGTGCAAAATGTTCTAAAACGTGACCAGGTGTGCGGTAACATGTTATCACGTGGCCAGGTAAACGGTGCCATTTTTTCTAGTAGCAATTTCATCAATTATAAGAAATGACTATTTTTGTGATTTAATTTTCGTAATCTATATCAAATAAATTGTGAAAAATGTACAAATGTGGTTTTGTTATTTGTTTTAAATTATGAAAATTTTAGTAAGATTGTTCAAGAGACACGTGTTTCAGACACTTTTCTAGTGTTTGTTGTGTTTGTGTTGTTTTCTACTTTGTCGTCATTGTTTCGTTGCTTTATTGATATGATTATTTTTACAAAAACAATTCTATCCCTGTTGTCACAGTTTGATAACTAATTATTTACTTTCACCTGTTCCCAGTACATTTCTAACACCTCACGAACCCTCTATTCCGGTGTTCGATTTTTGATTTCTAAAAAGATACAACACTTAAAGTAGGCTGTACCTTAGTAATCTCGTTTTCTACTCATTGTGTCATTTTTTAACAGGCTGGGGGGCACTATAGTAGGCTGTAAATAATCTAAATCTTACTCTGTGTCTAACGGGCAGGGGGGCACTATAGTAGGCTGTAAATAATCTAACTCTTACTCTGTGTCTAACGGGCAGGGGGGCACTATAGTAGGCTGTAAATAAATAATCTAACTCTTACTCTGTGTCTAACGGGCAGGGGGGCACTATAGTAGGCTGTAAATAATCTAACTCTTACTCTGTGTCTAACGGGCAGGGGGGCACTATAGTAGGCTGTAAATAATCTAACTCTTACTCTGTGTCTAACGGGCAGGGGGGCACTATAGTAGGCTGTAAATAATCTAACTCTTACTCTGTGTCTAACGGGCAGGGGGGCACTATAGTAGGCTGTAAATAATCTAACTCTTCTTACTCTGTGTCTAACGGGCAGGGGGGCACTATAGTAGGCTGTAAATAATCTAATTCTTACTCTGTGTCTAACGGGCAGGGGGGCACTATAGTAGGCTGTAAATAATCTAACTCTTACTCTGTGTCTAACGGGCAGGGGGGCACTATAGTAGGCTGTAAATAATCTAATTCTTACTCTGTGTCTAACGGGCAGGGGGGCACTATAGTAGGCTGTAAATAATCTAACTCTTACTCTGTGTCTAACAGGCAGGGGGGCACTATAGTAGGCTGTAAATAATCTAACTCTTACTCTGTGTCTAACGGGCAGGGGGGCACTATAGTAGGCTGTAAATAATCTAATTCTTACTCTGTGTCTAACGGGCAGGGAGGTACTGTAGTAGGCAGTAAACAATCTAACTCTAACCTAAAGGTCAAGGGAATGACTGGTCGCAGTAAGTACAAAGGTGTTTTTTTGTGCTGGTCATGAATTTGACCGTCCTATGAAAAAAACAATTTATGTATCAATTACAGATTTAAAAAAAGGATGGAAGTTTCCACAGGAATTGATATGTACATTTGTTAAAAACAGTAGTAAATGATTCATATCACGGAAATAATAATAAGAAGAAAAATCAGTTCACTTCGTTGGCAATTTCTAGGTAATTGTCTTTGTCTCTTTGTGATTGATAACATTCTACGGAGTAGTAAAGAGTGTTTTCAAAATTGATATATTCTTCGGACGTCTGTTCACCCCTACCTAAATGAAAACATGTTCCGCCATCTTTACTAACAGACACAACACAACAGCTCCCACACGACGATTTAGCATACCTTTAACAAATCGTACATCGACTATCTTGATAAGAAACTATTTAAAGTAATATTAGTGTACCGAAATTTATGTTTACCATGTTACGGCTATTTATGGATATACTGGTTAACAGCCTATTATAAATGAAGTTCCGGGTCAGCACCAGTTGAACAGTATATTAGTATATCTCTGCATAAAACTGTACAGGTTTGTCGTCATATATTTATAAAGGGAAAAATTATTGTTATAATATTAATAGCTTACTGATAATGATATATCGAGTTATTTTGTTGATAGTCTCTGTAAGTTGAGGGTCAATATGTAGTATTATCCTAATTCATTGTAGGGAAGCTATCAATCCTTCTAATCCCTGATCTGTTCTGCCTAAAATTCTGTGTGTGATCTTCTGTTTTTTAATGATAGGTTAACATATAGACTAAAACGTATTCCTTTCTAACATATTGTCAGTGCAGCTGAGGGATTGGACTCGAACAAATGAGTTGACAGTCCTACAACACAACATTAAACAATACATACGATAACACGTGATCATTATTCATTTTAAATACTGATATGAAAGAGAATGAGGAAAAGGAGAAAGAGAGGGGGCGGATGACAGGATACCAGCGTTTAGAAGACTTCATTTTTTTAAAAAATGATATGCATCTTCATTACAATTACTGCATGTGCAATGGTAAATAGGTGATAGGCATATACACTTGTGTCTGATGACTGAGAGAATCGGAGACATTTAGGTAAGATGGGCTGTTATGGCGATATTTTCATACTAAATAAATGCTGAAAATGAAGATTTGTATTTCAGAATTGTCGAGTCTATTCAACAAGCTAATTGTAGAGGGGGAATGATGTTTAAATACCTCTAATATTGGCAGTTGGTAGTTAACTGGATGAAGGGGCTGACGACTTCTAACTGGACTTGTTCCAATTTAATATGTATATGTGGCATTACGAAACAAACCTGGTGTCTTATCATATTTGTATCTCGTATCAGTAAAATATGTCTATCATAAAAGTATACCCCCTTATAGTATTTGTATAACCCCTTGAGATCAATAATATACATGTAACTCCATCTGTTTTACAGATTTGCTCTATATAAATTGGGTTGTTGGTCAGTCAATTGGTCACAAATACCAGGGGTACAGGACCGACAGCTAGACAATCTTTATTTCCTCTTTGCATAAATTAACATACAGAATGCCTTTTAAATACATTGAATATATATATGTTACATTAATATAGTAGAGATTTCTGTGACTTGCACTGGTACCAGGTCAGCAATATTAACCATCATTGAAGCCCACTTGTCTCACTCAAGATGTATATTATTTTCCTTTCTAAGTAAAAAAATTAACATGTCTTTCACCTGATACGTGATCGAATTAGAGTACTCTGATACCTCTAAGAAATTTAAGAAATCAGAATGTAGTATCTAGGGAACAATTATCTTGTGTATGAGGGATACGTTTATTATATCCATCAGAAAAGTAATTAAGGGACGATTGTTTGATATATTAGGTGATACATGTTGATGGCCAAGAGAATAGTATCTAAGGGACGATTGTCTAATATATGTAAGGTATACATTTATGATGGTCATCAGAATAGTATCTAGGGAACAATTATCTGAAATATTAGAGGGATACATTTATGATGGCTATCATAATAGTATCTAGGGGACAATTATCTGATCTATTAGGGGGGTACATGTATGATGGTCATCAGAATAGCATCTAGGGGACAATTATCTGATATATTAGGGGGTTACATTTATGATGGGCATCAGAATAGTATCTAGGGGACAACTATCTGATATATTAGGGGGTTACATTTATGATGGGCATCAGAATAGTATCTAGGGGACAATTATCTGATATATTCGGGGGTTACATTTATGATGCTCATCAAAATAGTATCTAGGGAACGATTGTCTAATATATGTAAGGTATACATTTATGATGGTCATCAGAATAGTATCTAGGGAACAATTATCTGATATATGAGAGTGGATACATTTATTATGGACATCAAAATAGTATATAGGAACAATTGTCTGTTACGTTATCTTTGTAATCGTCTTCCTCAAATTAACCTTGTACAATATGAATTGGAAAAAAATGCTAAGGGGGATACAGATACTATAAGGGGGATACTTTTATGATGGGGGACATAAATACGATATGACACCAGAACAAAGTACTAAACAGAAGTAGAACTAGTCGTTAGGATTTTTAATTAAACCTGAATATTTGGATAAGCTTTAACATTAAAACTCCTAAAAGGCAAGAGAATGACCGCAAGAGCTTACCGTTGTTGATGTAATAGAACAAATTTATGCAAATGCTACCAATAAGTAGGTATTTCTCTCGAACACTCATTTCCTGGCTATATAACAACATTTCTAAATTAAACGAGTGATTTCATTTAGAGTTATATGTGTGATAATTTTATTTATATTCTTTTGAAGATTGTTTACCGAATGGCTACCATTCAGACCCCATGTCTGCCCTTCTGTGGACCCAGGCTCAAACGAACAGTATACTATGGTTCAGACCCACAAAATGCATTGTAGGTCTTCTGTACAAAGAATTTGCTATCATTATCACCAAGACCACAAGACCAGGAGAGGCGGATTTCACCTGTCTACCATGTACGTTTAATATTTTCAATAGCAACTATGCTGCATCAGCTTCTAAACGTGATGAAATGGGGAGGGGTAGAGTGTGTGAATTAGTCATGCATTATACACATTTAAAATTTACTAAATTTACTTTTGACGCATAGTCTTACAATGTTGATATGGATAAGACTTCAAATGAATTGTCTATAGCAATAGAGAAATACCTTTAATTATTAGGAATATTAATTTTCTATAAGATATGATTAGTGTTACATTTAATCGCTATAATGTTCTGACGATGTGTTTCGACTTCAATATGAAAGCCAAATATAACGAATATGAATACCATTCCATACAATCTTAGAAAGTGTTGAGTAATAACAAAGTGAAAGTAAAAACTCTCTATGATAGACATTTTGTGTTGGTATATTTTGTACACAGCTACAACGGACATTGCTCTGGTAATATCACGACATGTTCTAACTTCGAATGTAAGCGGTCCTGTGTGGACGGATATCATCGTGATTCTAACGGCAAGTGTGTCAATACAGGTAAGTCAACGAGTGTGTATACACAGGTTAGTAGTCTACAGGAGTATTTCTACAGATATGTTACCAGGTACAAAAATTGTACTAATGTAAATCTAAACGTTCGGTGGCAAAAATACGATCAAACCTCAAGTAAGATACAAGAGAAAGTTTCTTCCTTTTATTAGCTGTAAATAAACATATTGTTTTCTGACTATCAAATTACAGAAATACTGGGATTGTCATTAGTACTTTTTTTTTGAAGTCGCACTGACGTGTTTCAATGGTGGATCACTTAATCTTAACTTGACCAAATGTGTTTGTCCTGCCAACTTCACTGGCGACCAGTGTGATATCCGTAAGTATAACAAGGTTTTCCTGAGATATTTTTTGAAGTATTGTGTGTATTTGGTCAATGTGACATTACTGTAAGCATTCTTCTGATGGTCATCATCAATTTTGAAATTAACATTAAATTTTTCTATTTGACAAATTCATACTTTTACCTAATAGCAATCTGCAGTCCAAGCTGTAAGAACGGAGGAGTGTGTTCCCTGCCTCCAAATTCTAGGTGTCACTGCCCAGACTACCTTACCGGAACCAGATGTGAAATACGTACGTCCACCTGTCACCAGAACCATTACTATCATTTTCACGTGAATAAACAACAGAAAAGGTTTACAAAATCCTACAGTCTTCGGTGATACTTTTTTATGGACTCAGTTATGGAAGAATACGTCATTATTGCTTAATATAAGTGTCGAAATCAAAGCATTTAACATCTAGCATATTTTCAAACACACATCTCTTAATTTCGTGATTAAGACTCCTTAATATAAACTTGATATGATTTACACAATATATCGACTTGTCATGTGATATTTCCCATTGTCTTTCTAGCTTTGTGTGGCACAGGCTGCCGGAATGGGGGAGAGTGTGTCTTCACAGGGATCACCTCTCAATGTGTCTGTCGTCCCGACTTCACCGGGCATCGCTGTGAAAGCTGTAAGTACTAGCAAATAATATGCATTCCTCGTCCGAGCTACACTGGCTAATGGTGTAAATAAGTACTGTACTGGAAAGACCTTGAAAGGGATACTGGTATGGCAAGCCAAATAGAAAATACGATACTGTTGGATATTTCATTGCTGGCTTGCCATATACTTTAATATAACGTCTTTGGGTGACGTCATGGAATATTCTTTATTTAAATGGCGAAAGTGCTAAAATAATCGTAAAAAAGACACACACCTAAATGAAAGTGAAGTAAAATAATGAATAAAACCAGAACATACAGCATATATGTCCTCCTAGGACTTGTCAGTGATGCTGTGGTGCAGAAACCAAGGGGACGACAAAAGAATGTCAAAACTTCGAAAGAAATGTCATTATCTAGATGGGGAGGTGGATTAACCTTAAAATCAATATAAATTTCATGATTATCAGTATCAAATACTTTCAAAAAAACGCTCCTATAGAGCTCATGTATAGCTGAATATACTATTCAAATGAACTATATAATTACGGCAAACCTCGGGGACATCAGTCCAACAGCAATGTCTAGCACCTGCAATCTTAACGATTACGCAAAAGACACGAAGGCGAAAATAATCTTTCAATACATATTGAGAATTAGAAAGGTGATTATTGAAACCAATTCGGGTGATAGATTCTGAAACAGGACAAAGTAATTGTTATTTATATCATGTATTGTTATTACGAAAAATGTGTATGATACAGCTTAATTCACTGTAAGGCCCTGGTGTGTGCTGTAGCTACCTCTAAAATGTTATTAAAATATGCTGTTCAATTATGCGTCTTTTGTACAATTTTCAAGATTGCAGGTGGTAGGTTTGCCGTCACCTACATGTCACATTTAAATTACTAAAATTGAATGGTAGGGCTTGTGCATCTCGCCTTCTAAAGTTTGGCTATTCTAAAGATTCTTTAAAATTTTCCTCAATCGCCTGCTAGGATTCAAAATGTAGACCCCCTTGCATCACTGACGAGTCCTAGAAAGGCGAAAACAATGTGTGATGCTGTTTAATTGCTTGGAAGCAAGTACGTCATAAAGGTGTACATATGCATAACGGTTGGATATGTACAGATACATCATAAAGGTTAGAGATTTACGCGTACATTATAAAGGTTGGAGATGTACAGATACATCATAAAGGTTAGAGATTTACGCGTACATTATAAAGGTTGGAGATGTACAGATGCATTTTAAAGGTTAGGGAAGTACAGGCACATTATAAAGTTTGGGGAAGTACAGGCACATTATAAAGTTTGGGGAAGTACGGATACATTATAAAGTTTGGGGAAGTACAGGTACATTACAAAGGTTGGAAATGTACAGATGCATTATAAAGGTTGGGGAAGTACAAGGTACATTATAAAGTTTGGAAATATAAAGGTACACAATAAAGGTGTGATATGTTCAGATATATTATAAAGGTTGTGGATGTACAGATACATTATAAAGGTTGAGGAAGTACAGGTACATCACAAAGGTTGGAAATGTACAGATGCATTATAAAGGTTGGAGATGTACAGATACATCACAAAGGTTGGAAATGTACAGATACATTATAAAGGTTGAGGAAGTACAGATACATCACAAAGGTTGGAAATGTACAGATGCATTATAAAGGTTGGAGATGTACAGATACATCACAAAGGTTGGAAATGTACAGATGCATTATAAAGGTTGGAGATGTACAGATACATCACAAAGGTTGGAAATGTACAGATGCATTATAAAGGTTAGGGAAGTACAAGGTACATTATAAAGTTTGGAAATATAAAGGTACACAATAAAGGTGTGATATATACAGATATATTATAAAGGTTGTGGATGTACAGATACATTATAAAGGTTGAGGAAGTACAGATACATCATAAAGGTTAGAGTGTACAGGTACATTATAAATATTGTTAATGTACAGGTACATTATAAAGGTTATGAGATGTACAGATACATTATACAGGTGGTGGATGTACAGATGCATCACAAAGGTTGGAGATTTAAAGATACATCATCAAAGTTGGAGATGTACAGATACATTATAAAGGTTGTGGTTGTACACGTACATCATAAAGGTTGGAGATGTGCAGATACATCATAAAGGTTGGAGACGTACAGGTAGATGAGATAGGTGTGGGATATTTGTATTGTTTATCAATAAATCCTGTCGTTATGCGAGTTATATCAGATGCCAGATGAACTTTGGACATGCTGATAGCAATTGTTTATTTACAGATAGAACAGGAACAAACAGAAATACTATTGATCCCAAGTCAGGCCTAATCTTCCTTCATACTCAAACATTATATCGTAGAGTAGTTTGGTGACGCCCTTGCATGTATATCTAACTTATTGTTCTCGAGGAAATAAGAAGCATTTTAGTCTTCTATATCAGTTTCTCTAAGGCGACGTCAAATTACTGTCATAAATTTCGAAAAATATACGAAATCTGAAATGATTTTCATTACATGATTTACTTTGCTCTCAACATAAGGCAATGATTTATTCCAGACAATGACTACCTGCAAGAATGTGCTGCTAGTGACGAAGTTGATAATAGCACCATATGTTTCACCGACGAGCAATGTGGTGGCCTGGGATACTGTTGTAGTTTGTCCCCCAGGTCATATTACGGACATTGCTCTATGCCCGAGAACAACATCACATGTATTCACTCGGATGGAGCGGTGGTGGCCAAAAATGACATCTATAACAGTGTGCGCGACTGCGAAGTGTGTGTATGCAGCGCCCCGGTGAACACTTCAGCCGAACATGGAGATATCCAATGTACATCCAGCGGCTGTTCTGGTGATTTCTTGTCCAATTCTATATGTTGTCCAAACACAACAGGTAGGTTCCGGGTTATACCATGGTAGCAAATATTAAGGATATTGCTTTCCATTTCTCAATGTAAATCATTAAGAAATGGGATTTCTATTTGAAATTGTTCAAAAGTATCAGGAGAGTGTATGTATTTAGCTCAGTATACAGATCCTTGACCCCATAAATATTTATGAAAATGACAACAATGTCAAACGGTTGTACAAGCGAGTTAAGAACTTGGTATTGTATTTTGTAGAAAGCCAACCGGAAATTATAGCTACTGGAAATAACGACGGTGTTTACGTAAATATATATTTAAGTCTGTTCTTGGGTGTTCTTTGGGTATTGGGTTAGAAAATAATGATTTTTCCCTATAAAAAAAATGCCATGAATATACTAATTAACCATTTATTTTTTCTTCTTCAGACAACAAGCCTTGCCCACGTGAGTATGATATGAGCGATATAATGAGGAGAGCTGTGTGTGATTACAATATTGATACTCATAATTTTCATAAAACTATACAGAAATACTTGTTGGTATATACTTGTTCTATATTACTTTATTTGATTGTATAAGCTGTATTAAGCATGGTACAATTTCTATATTTAGACATCCCTACTGTTTTCACAGCCGTTCTATATACTGTCTATATGATGCTTGGTACGTACATCTTTTTGCATTTTTTGTCTGTCACTCCTCCACTGGTGTTTCTTGCCTTCATCTTGACAATGATGGCCTTTGTAAAATCTAAATGACATATGTATTGCTACATCTTTATAACTCCTGTCATGTACTTACAATGTATTTCAGCACCTGTCATCAAAGGTTGTCCTGATAAAGATGAGATCCTACCCGTGGTGGTGTCGTCACACTACAACAATGCTCTTCTCGTCAACAATTTCGATGCACATAATTGCCTGGGGGACTTTTTACATGTCAAACTGGACAGAGTCTACTTTTCAGCTTGTGAATGTAGCACCCCGAGTACTTACACTGTAACAGCAACGTCTGAGAGGGACTTCAACAACAGACAGGGGACTTGTGACTTCCGAGTTGTTGTTAAAGGTATGATATTCTTGATTCTTATGAATCTTGGTTTATATAAATCAATTGTAACATGAAAGAATGATTTTCGGACTCATGTTCAAACAAAAATACGGCATCAAACATTAAGTTGTTGGCTATAAATCATGCGATTCGTCTCATCTTGAATGTATAGATATTATGTTTATGTGATACTGGTTTCTGGGAAATGTGAGCATTTATTAACTCCACGCATGAATTGATCGGAAATGCCATATTACTCGCGGGCAAAGCCCGAGTCAAATATGACATCTGATGTCGAATGGAGCTTCATATTTTCCTTTTACCAGAACCATTTATAATCAAACAAACGCTATGAGTAAATAAGTGTTTAATAAAAAACAACATGATTAACATTTGGTTTATGACGGAGTCCTGCTATCCAGGGCTGCGATAGCTCAGTCGGTTAGAACAGTGACCTACGTAACTTCAGGTAGCGATCCAAGGAGCGTGGTTCGATTCTACCTACAGTTCGGTTACGTCTACCAGCTGATGCAAGAAATCCCTGCCTCTTTTCATAGTATTTGGGTGTCCTTGTTTTCCAACATCGCATCGATTCCGTTTCCTCGTTAGCTCGTCTACCATTTATGCGAACAAATGGAAGGGAGGCAACTCCGCTGGATTTTGACGAAGACTTATGAATGGAGGCACGTGCTAAAGGGGTTACGATGATTGATGTCACATAAACAATCAGTGGCACCATTTCATGGACTAACTATAAATCTAAAAATGAAGTCCAGCAACTCGATTCTGTACGTTGTTTTCCTTTCAGATATTACACCCCCGATTTTCATTTCGTGTCCTGCTGATATCTACATCCGCCAAGGGGAGACGGTGAGCTGGAACAAACCGAAAGCAGCGGACAATGTCGGGATTAAACAGTTGAATCTCTATAATTCTAACATAAAAAACAACAGCATGGATGTCGGTCCAGGGGTGTATTTCCTCCATTACACAGCCATTGACTGGCAAGATAATATGGCCTTCTGTCGCTTTAAGGTTAATGTCTACAAAAACGGTACGTATTGCATCATGCAGTATCAACAATACCTATACAGTAAGTGTTTGTATTGGATACTTCATAAATATAAATTACGACCACCTTTGGGATGGAAAAAAGCGCCATAATGGTGGGTTGGTCTGAATAACGCCCAAGACGTCCCTTATAGCCACGTTTATCTATATTACACATTCATCAAATTATCTTTTTTTAATATTAAAAATACAGCAATCGAGTATACGAGTAGCCAGTTTGACATCAAAATCCGACACCTTTTAAACGTTACAATACACACCAGGTTACTTTGTAAATGGTTCGTACTCTGATAAATCAGGTGAAATTCAAAATTAGACTTCAGGACTTTTTGAAATAGGTCTCAATTCCGAAGTGAATACAGGGTACTATCTTGGGAAAATATGTGTTCTCAATAGTTTTAAAAATAATGCCATATGTAAATCTACGTCTAGATCTAAATTATTTTCCGTTCTGACCATGTGAATGGACTTACGTAACCAAGCCATGATATGATATGTGTGTTTCACGGTGAAATATATTTGCCTGATTAGCATCCATTGCTTGAGGCACTACCTTAATTTTCGTAAGCTTTCCATGAAAATTGTACTACTTAGAACTCTGAATAATTGGATCAATCTCATAGGGTCGATAAGAGGAAAGGTTTCAAGAAATAAATGGAAATTCAACAGTATGAGCATTACATTATGATGAAGATCGATGTGAATAAAGCTGATGTATAAGAATCTGGAAAGGATATATGATGATCATGACCAATAATTATCACCTTATTTGAAAACATGCCATCGTTAGAAGGGGCACAGCTTGTATATTTCGGAATGTTACCAAAAATCTTACAAAAAATTACAACACTGGTAAATCTTTCTTCATATCGTATAGATTTTATTGGTGTTTTGTATTAATTGTTCTGTTGTGGATCCTGTTTCAGATGATTCTAAATACCCTCTTGAACTTAAAGAAAGGAAGACATCCGTATCCCCTGTGATCATAGGTAAGCTATTATATATCATATATAGGTGTCGTAGATATGTGTTTTGTGTGTACTGCATCAGAAATTAGAAAGTGATATATATAACTGACGGTGACAAAACACTACGCTAGATCCTATGATTGTCCACTTTCTGTGTATTCACCTACTGACAGACACTTCTCTACATTTAGATACGCAAACAGTATATCATCATATAATATATTATCATACTGACAGTAGGAGTTCTCTTAAAATTGTTCAATAAAGCTATTTTCTTAGTGATTTTGTTTTTACCACAACATGATTTCAGTATTGTAAATAAAGTTTATTAACTTGTATTTCTTTCTTAATTGCTTAAGATGATTTACAAAATTTTACCGATTTCTTGACTGCCATTGTTGTATTTGGTTTGTTTTTTCTGATGTTTTGACTGTTATTGTTGTTGATTGTTAATTTCCTTGTAATTTCATTGTTATTGCTGTAAATGGTAACGTTTGATTGTAATATATCTTGGTGCTTCCAATGCTTTATTTAATAGTCGTGGTTTCTTGGTTGTGTTTATTGTCGATGATTTATTTGATTGCCATGATATATCTCGAGTGTGATAGGTGTAGATGTTTGTTTAATTGAACTAAATTTTTGACTGTTGTCCATTCGACCTTCCACTATTTTGACCTTGAATCATGGGAAGTAAATAATTGGGATATTCTGGGCTCACTTTGATGAAACGTTGTGTCGTATGTCAAAAGTAGGTCATTGTAACCTATATTTAAAATTTGACCTTCATCAAAGAAAAAGAATGTCTGAGCCCTATCTCTTGCACTACTTATCATGAAAATTTCATACTTGATGTATGGAATTATCCCAGTGAGGCGGTGTGTAGAGGGACTATAATTCGCCTTAATGCCTTGTTAACTGTGTTTCTTTCTCTCCTTTGATTGTTGTTGTTGTTGGTTAATCAAATTGTACCAATTCTGTCATTGTTGTAGTTGGTTTATCTAATTGTATTTTTCTTGCAGTCGGTTTGAGTAATTGTACCTTGATTGTTTAAGGTGGCACTGTTGCTGGAGTACTTTGTGTTACTCTGATTGCTCTCGTGATCGCCTTGGTAAGAGTTTGGCATATTCGAAAAAAGCGTCTTCAAGATGTTCAGCGACGACAGCAACAACTCCAGCCTGTCGACATATTTAGTATCTATACTAACGATCCTCCACCATATGAAGTTGCTGCCAAGCACAAACTCCCTGAATACAGCGCTTCAGACAATCCTCCTACATATGATGACGTCACCAAAGAAGCTTACGATAACCCATCATACGCTTCAACAGAAGAAATCGCTAGTACGTCAGAAGGCATGCGCAGTGAAATGAGAAGTACGGGAAGCAAACGTGTAACGGTCGTGTGATCAACTACTTTTTGAATGGACCATTGGTGCAAGATCTACCTTGTATTGTAAATTTGTATATTGTGTGCAGTGTTTTGATGATACATATAAAACAAAAATTGCACAGAAGTAATAAGTATGAATCTACTGAGAAATGTAAAACATATTTCGTTACGATTATCCAAACTAATTTACAATCATTAACAATCACTAACGTTTTATCGACATTCGGACACAGGCGATACAAACTATTGTTCTACAATTTGCTGGTGAAGTTGTCTACTACAGATTGGCAATTGTGTGTTTTCGATGTAAGCGTGCCCTTTAATTGGTATTGAGTGATACGTATACATGATTATAGTAATATTTGGATATCTAATATGGCATAGTTAACAATGATGACTATCTTGTTCTTTCGGAGATTAATAATTTATCATTATAATTTATTTTCGTTCATTGTAATTATTTGTGTCTTTGTTTCTATCGGTATTTGACAATGTTGTCATATTCGATCGTTAATAATTCGTTATTAAAAAAGTAACATAGCAAAACATATTCGACCTTGTCATTACACAAGATTGATATAAACCGTCATCTTTAGTTAGAAATCTAGTTTCAGTATTATTCTGTAGACATACTGATCTTTCTTTCCGCTAGCTTTAGGTCATCTGACTCGAAGGGTTAGGATGATAATTGCTATCGTGTTTCGTTCGTTACCATTTGCGCAAACGACTTTTTCTCAATAACCAAATGTCCCAAGGTACTGATATAAGGCCTGTAGCAGGATGGGGAAAAGGGCAACCAAATTTATTCATATGAAGAAACCTTAACCAATTTTAAAGGTCTTAAAATAATTAAACAACTTTGTTTCAATAACCAAATGGCGAATGATGCCGATGTTGGAAATTAAGCTCGCTTGGATGAAGGGATAAAATGGTTTCAATATCACTGGGGTTAAATGCGTTAAGAACTTAAAATTTCTAACGTTGACAAATGATAAGTCCAGTGTCATGGCATTTATTTGTGCATGAGAGATAATATTTTTCAAGTGTGCAGATATTGACTTCATATTCTTCATAAGTAATTCAGGGTCATTCGCTCTCTGACATATATCTGTATTTTAGTCAGATGACCATTAAAGCCTCTTTTTATGCCCCCGCCATTTATGGCCGGGGGCATATAGCGTTGCCCATGTCCGTCCGTCTCGTCCCGTCGCGTCCCGTCGCGTCCCGTCCCGTAGCGTCCCGTCCCGTCGCGTCGCGTCCTAAATCAGTATATACCACCTAACAACTTCATTCGGAAGGCAATTTTCATGAAACTTCCTACAAATATCAAGTATGGAAAGACCTCATGCAGTGTTGAATTTCTCGGCATTCTAAAAAAAGATGGCCACCAGGGGGAGATAACTCAAAAAAGAGGAACATCATCTTATTTCTACATAATTTGGTACTTGTGGGATTTAAGGCATAAGGAACTAATATACTCCCTCATTTTTTCCAGAGAACAAAATTCCAAATTCATGTACGTTAAATCAAATTGTCAATTTAAGTATGAAACTTAAGTTGTACATAGTTGCATACAAATTAACAAAATCATCTCTTTCAGACCTTTCATTATTATTTCACATGAAGGGGGGGTGGGGGGGGGGGCGGGGGCATTCATGTCTTACAGACATTTTCTGGTTTCAATGAGCGATGAGTCAAAGTATACTCAACTTTGATGTACTGTCAATAATGTTTAAGTTTAAGCATTACGACAGCTGTACAAATAAAAAGAACCTGAACATCGTAAAGGAAGCAAACATCTTTTATTTTCACAATTTGAAATTTCATCTTCTTTCACAAAGAAGGATATCTTTGTTCCTTATTAAGGTTTCTTTCCACTTTTTGGTTAAGCCATGCAACTCTATTTTACTACTGATTAAAAAGTTAACGTTATGCTATGAAGTAACAAACTACAAGCATCACACAGCTACAAAAATAATTACGTTTTAAGCTAAAAAGATCACAATCAAAATTTTGTCACTTATAATTTTGTAATTTTAATATCAAGTCACTGCATCTTGATTATAAATCATAAACACTGCTATAAACATGGTAACGAAAGGAGAAAAGGGGATAACAAATATATGTCAATTCGCGTATTAGATGGACGTCATCAATGTTCCGGAGACATATGGTCAGTCCATATTTCTAATGGAATTCCCTGCTGGTCAGTGTTAGCGGGGTATAGTTAGTCCCTCTTTTAAATGTGGCAAGTGGTTGCGAAGTATGGTCATTCCCACTCTCGATTGCAAATTCTACCATATGCTGGAGATTGGTACGGGAAATGGTCAATGCCTCCTCCAAGCGCAGCTCCGTGCTGATCAATGTTAATTTATTGTTAATCTCTCCTTCTGGTGCTAATCCATACCAGCCAGAGGCAAATTATGCCAGTCCCTTCTAGAACAAGGTCTTTCTGATTAGTGGTATGGAATTGCCAGGCTGTTCTTTCATATCAATAGCATGATAAGTGTCAATGTATGGTTTTCCGCTTACTCGCATGTGAATTTTGTATCTTATGATGAAACAGTGTGTTCATATTATTTTACAAAGAGAGATTAAATATCAAATGTCTAAATGACTGCATCAACAACGTGTTAAATATTTTATTTGAACTGGATGTAATCGTTTGTCAGTACAGCGATCCCCTGTGTATGATATAAACAATCTTTACTGGTTAAATAGATTGAAAAAAGAAAATGGTTACAATTGTACACGTAAATAAAAATGACTACTCCGTAATTGATTATATGAACAAACTACATAATTTTCTACGTCGTTTTCCCCTGATTCGGCTCATCGTAGACGACTTTGCTGGCCACAGATTGCACGTCTAACTGTTCATAGTGGTCGGGACTGGTGGGGACGCCACTGAAGGAAGGCGGAGGACTGTTTTCTCCCTCGCCCTCTTTGTTTGAGAGGACGGAAGCGGCTGGGATAGAATGGTACATACTTTCATCCATGTATAACTGGTTTTCAACACCGCTAGTCACAGACGACACTGCGATACTTTCGTAGTCTGGCGCCGTGCTATTGGCCCGATAGACGGGAGGTGGAGTTCCAGGTTTATACGAGGGAGGTCCGCCCTTCTCTCCCTCGAAAGCGATGTTGTCATAAGGTGGTGGACGCACACCCTCAGAGTAGATTCCATTGTCGAAAGCGTTCGCCGTTTTGTCCTTTGTGACGGGAGCCTGTTGAGGAGGTGAAGATTTGCGGAGACTTCTGCAGTATAGCATCCCCAGTAATAGCAGTAACAACAGTACAGCAGCTCCTACACCTACACCTTGATTAAAAAGGGAGATAACAAGAAAGTGAAAAAAGGAACAAGCTAACATGCAATAACAAAAACACTTACATTTTATTTTAATTAAAACCCAAAATGACGAGATGAGAGCAAAATGTGAACGAAAGAAAGAATTACAAGGTGCCTTGAAAAAATCTAATAAGAATACTTTCAAAACGATTAATCAACCTGTATTCCACACAGAAAGGTTGATAAGAAATACATCCTCTATCAAATAGTGAATGTTATCAAATGTTCTTCATAAAGATAATTAACCAAAAAACTGAAGCTAATTTGACATGACATACAAACCTATGTACAAGTTGTGCTTGCTCCTGTCGGTCGACGACATTCTCATGCCGACCGGTAGTGAAGGATCGGTAGTACCTGATACATTCAAAACAAAAACGTGTGTTTAGTAACAGTGACCACTTCAAAGCTAAACGTTTACAATACTGATTGTATGTCTGCACAGACATCTTAAACTCAAACGTGGAAAAGTCAAATAAAATCACAAAAATAGTCCAATTTAGTCAAATGGAGTATAATTTAACAAAGGTATATATATATATGGACTTGAACATATCTATGTAAATATATATAAGGTATATCTATGGGCGTGGACGGACACTTACTTAATAAAAGTTCATCTATGGACTTGGAAGTATACATACTTAAGCGAAGGTCTCTCTATTGACTTGAAAGTATAAGTATTTAAACTAAGGCCTATCTCTAAAAATACAAAACAAAGGTCCATCTATGGACTTGAATATTATATGTGCTTGCGAGTAAATATAATCCAACAATGGCCTATCTATGGACATGGACGTACATATACTTCAATAAAGGTTTATACGTTAACTTGAACGTGTATATATTTCAACAAGGTTGTACCTATGTGTTTTGACGAACGTTTCGGTCTCTAAATATCTACCCTACCTCTTCTATAGAACTAGACAGGAACTCATACTATTACTTTGATATTTATGATGGATCATCAAATGATCTACTCATCGCTTCGACAGTTTATCATCGGCACATACCAGTAAACATACAAATAACCTGCCTCTGGTTTAACTGTCGGTGTCCAACTTATCAGTCATTTCTGTTGATGTCTAGGACCGGATTCCATAGTCAAGGGAAACTTAAGACATATATAACGTACCTCTGGTATAGACTGAGACGGGGATACGACAGATAGCGACGTTCTTATGAAAGTCCTTCGCGTAGTACTCAACATAATGTTTTCCTTCCGGAAACATGGTGTTGTTGGCATATTTAGCCCTGAAATTCATCTCCCGGACTCCGACGTTGTCAGAGACTGCAGGAGATCGCCATATTATTTTCTCGTCAGTGAAAGCGCTGATCATAGAAGGACAGTGACTAAATCTGGGAGAGTGCACGTCTGTAATGGAGATAAGACTTATTGTATCAATATAAAATTTACACCGGAGAGAAAATCCAGACTGCGAAAACAAAAATGACTGACGAAAACAAGGCCATGATCAGCTAAAAGAGCGAAAACAAAAAGGACAGGAAATACCAGGACACAGTTACACCATAGACTGAAAACAAAAAACAAGGAAAGGCAACATATATGGCTGCGAAAAAAAGGCAGACAAAAACAAGGACAAAGCAACACCAAAGACTGCTGAAAATACAAACGATAGACAAAAAACAAGTATAAAGCAACATCAAAGACTGCTGGAAACAAAAACGACAGACAAAAAACAAGGACAAGGCAACATCTAAACAAGTATAAAGCAACATCAAAGACTGCTGGAAACAAAAACGACAGACAAAAAACAAGAATTAAGCAACATCAAACACTGCGAAAACGAAAAACAAGGACAAGGCAACATCTCCGGCTGCGAAAAAAGGACAGACAAAAACAAGGACAAAGCAACACCAAAGACTGCTGAAAATACAAACGACAGACAAAAAACAAGAATTAAGCAACATCAAACACTGCGAAAACGAAAAACAATGACAAGGCAACACCAAAGACTGCTGTAAACAATACAGGCAAGAACAAAGACAAAGTAACACCAAAAACTGCTGAAAAAGCACTGAGACATAGTGAAATATAAAAAATAAAACAAAGATAAAACAGAGGGAACTGGAAAAGATTGAATAAAAAAGAAAAGAAGACATAAAACGAAAAGATTCGAAACAAAAAGAAAATCAACATATCAAAACAAAAAGGGAAAACGGCAGACGGAATTGAGAAAAGAAAAAAGAGGTCTAATGAAAAAGGAACGAAAGAGTGAATAGATTTAATTGATTGCAACATATAATGATTTTGGCCCTTTAGGTACTTTGCATGTCTTACGCACCAATGACCTTGACAGTGAATGAGCAGTAGGCCACTCTGCCGTAAGTGTCCGGTTCTGATACGACGGATATCTGTTGAATGTCAAGTTCGGTGTAGTTACAGGCACATGATCTCAAGTAAACATGGGAGAAGGTCACCTTCAAAACATTCATTTTGTGGTCAAGAGCGTGGATACTCTTAAACCTCTCTGCGACGTTGATCATGTTCTTATCTGCTTGAACTGCTAACTCTATAGTTTTAGTTGGACAGTCAGAAATTTGTGGTTCTGTGGAAAAAATACAAATCTTTTAAAATGTCGGCATTCTGTTTTTTTCTTGATTAACCAAATATCCTTCTCTTAAGCTAAATGACAACAAATTAGGGTATGTATACTAACTGGCGTATCATACCATTTCTGTGAAACAAGTACCATTCAAGGATGATCAAAGTGATTTTCCAATAACGTTGATAAGTCAAATAATTGATATTTGACTAAAGTATGAGTGCAACTATCTTTGATGTCTTAGACTTTTAATCTCCTCACACAAGTAGCAGTGTGAAGGGGCGTGAGCTCCTAGTCATAAACAGATCAGTAAATCGATAGAAAGTGAATATAACGACTTTATAACTAAATAATCGATGTTGTATCGGGTGTAAATCAACGTGAGTATACTTACCACGCGGGAGTTTAACTGTGAACAAATAATACATAAAAATAAGTGTTCATGAAACTTCTGACAGGGTTATTGACGGAAAACTTTTTTGAAAGTGAAATATCAATAAGGACAATTAAGTATTGCATAAAAATTATCATACATTGATTGATCTGCTAGGCAAGACTATTTCATTCTCCATAGGACTGAAAGATAGAGTTTAATGTGTATATTTCAAAGAGCCTAAAGTTTTCAATGAATATTTGTAAGATGAAGGCGTTAGATTGTAATAAAACACAATACTTCTATACTTTGTATGATATGTCTTACCATTACACACGGGACAGCACTTGTCTTTGTGATAGATATAATCTGTACAGCTGAGAGGTGGACAGTCAATAGTGTAGCAGGCAAATTCATCATCGTTCTGGTGGAGGATGGACGGTCGGATACACGTACACTTCTCACAAACACCTCTGCTGACTTCCTCGCCCGCTTTGTAGTGCTGACCGTCATGAAGACAAGTCGGTGTGCCAGGGGTCACACAAAACTTGCCGTATCTTGAAGGGCAACATTTGTCGCTGTTTGGACAATGGTCATCAAAAGTACAGCCCCTATGTGTTGATCGGAGATCTCCCATGTCCCGAATGGACGGGCACGTTCCAGGTCGCACCCCTGTTCGGTTTAAACACACGGGTACGAATTAAGGTCTAGAGGTATCGCAAGAGATCAATAGCGAGTGTTTTAGTGGCACCCGTTGACCATAAAGGAAAAAATAATAAGATACTGGAAAAAAGACAAAGGCATTTGGGATCTATACATCAACCTTAATTGGCAAATTAATGCTGATTACTTTTTTGCCAATTGTTTCAACCCTTACATGCTAACAAAAAGTGGCCTAGTTTATCAAATATAATTGAACCAGGGAAACTTCAAAGAAGGGAAACCCACTCTGAAGCAAAGTTTTGCGGAGTTTACCAAGTTAGGCTTCTTTCTTACCAGCTGTTTTAGTATAACATCTTCTACTTTATCAACAAGAGTCGCAATGTAATTCTAAGTCAATCCAAGTAATGCAACCCCTCAATAGGAGAACCGTGATAAAAACACCGAACCAATAGGCTTACCTACAAATTCCGAGCAAGGCTGAATCACAGGAATAATAGGTAATTTACAATATTAATGAACTCAAGATTTACAAATTTACAATTTACAGATTTTTGAAATGTGTTCATATCAAAACTAACCCGTACTGTACTACTAAGCTCCAATTATGGACAATGTCTAACTCTAAAGTGTACACCATATCTAACCGATCACTCTACAGTGTATATCATGTCTAACCGATCACTCTACAGTGTGTATCATGTCTAACCGATCACTCTACAGTGTATATCATGTCTAACCGATCACTCTACATTGTATATCATGTCTAACCGATCACTCTACATTGTATATCATGTCTAACCGATCACTCTACATTGTATATCATGTCTAACCGATCACTCTACAGTGTGTATCATGTCTAACCGATCACTCTACAGTGTATATCATGTCTAACCGATCACTCTACAGTGTGTATCATATCTAACCGATCACTGTACATTGTATATCATGTCTAACCGATCACTCTACAGTGTGTATCATGTCTAACCGATCACTCTACAGTGTATATCATGTCTAACCGATCACTCTACAGTGTGTATCATATCTAACCGATCACTCTACATTGTATATCATGTCTAACCGATCACTCTACAGTGTATATCATGTCTAACCGATCACTCTACAGTGTGTATCATGTCTAACCGATCACTCTACAGTGTGTATCATATCTAACCGATCACTCTACAGTGTGTATCATATCTAACCGATCACTCTACAGTGTGTATCATATCTAACCGATCACTCTACAGTGTGTATCATATCTAACCGATCACTCTACATTGTATATCATGTCTAACCGATCACTCTACAGTGTGTATCATATCTAACCGATCACTCTACAGTGTGTATCATATCTAACCGATCACTCTACAGTGTGTACCATATCTAACCGATCATTCTACAGTGTGTATCATATCTAACCGATCACTCTACATTGTATATCATGTCTAACCGATCACTCTACAGTGTGTATCATATCTAACCGATCACTCTACAGTGTGTATCATATCTAACCGATCACTCTACAGTGTCTATCATATCGTACCGATCACTCTACAGTGTGTATCATATCTAACCGATCACTCTACATTGTATATCATGTCTAACCGATCACTCTACAGTGTGTATCATATCTAACCGATCACTCTACAGTGTGTATCATGTCTAACCGATCACTCTACAGTGTATATCATGTCTAACCGATCACTCTACAGTGTATATCATGTCTAACCGATCACTCTACAGTGTGTATCATGTCTAACCGATCACTCTACAGTGTATATCATGTCTAACCGATCACTCTACAGTGTATATCATGTCTAACCGATCACTCTACAGTGTATATCATGTCTAACCGATCACTCTAAAGTGTACACCATATCTACCCGATCACTCTACAGTGTATATTATGTCTAACCGATCACTCTACAGTGTATATCATGTCTAACCGATCACTCTACAGTGTATATCATGTCTAACCGATCACTCTACAGTGTATATCATGTCTAACCGATCACTCTACAGTGTGTATCATGTCTAACCGATCACTCTACAGTGTGTATCATGTCTAACCGATCACTCTACAGTGTGTATCACGTCTAACCGATCACTCTACAGTGTATATCATGTCTAACCGATCACTATACAGTATGTACCGTGTCTAACCGGTCACTCTACAGTGTATATCATGTCTAACCGATCACTCTACAGTGTATATCATGTCTAACCGATCACTATACAGTATGTACCGTGTCTAACCGATCACTCTACAGTGTATATCATGTCTAACCGATCACTCTACAGTGTATATCATGTCTAACCGATCACTCTAACCGATCACTCTACAGTGTATATCATGTCTAACCGATCACTCTACAGTGTATATCATGTCTAACCGATCACTATACAGTGTATATCATGTCTAACCGATCACTCTACAGTATGTACCGTGTCAAACCGATCACTATACAGTATGTACCGTGTCTAACCGATCACTATACAGTATGTACCGTGTCTAACCGATCACTCTACAGTATGTACCGTGTCTAACCGATCACTATACAGTATGTACCGTGTCTAACCGATCACTATACAGTATGTACCGTGTCTAACCGATCACTCTACAGTATGTACCGTGTCTAACCGATCACTATACAGTGTGTATCATGTCTAACCGATCACTCTACAGTGTATATCATGTCTAACCGATCACTCTAGAGTGTATATCATGTCTAACCGATCACTCTACAGTGTATATCATGTCTAACCGATCACTATACAGTATGTACCGTGTCTAACCGATCACTATACAGTATGTACCGTGTCTAACCGATCACTATACAGTGTGTATCATGTCTAACCGATCACTCTACAGTATGTACCGTGTCTAACCGATCACTCTACAGTTGATATCAGTCTCTTTATACACCCATACCATTACACGACAATTTTCCAGAACGTATAGGGCTGTGTTATGAATAGCTACAGCAATAAGATGTTTCTTACTGTGTTCACACGCCATGCCTGAGAAGCCCGGAGGACACTGACAAGCAGCATAGTACCCCATGGATACACAGGAACCTCCATTTTGACACCTCTCGGGACAAAGAGCTACAACAGATAAGTCAAAATAGTATTTAACAATGCAAAGAAACGCTAATTAATAACAATGTGATGGAAGTTAATGAAAGTTATTAAGACATGCAAAAAAGCAATTGAATCACAATACCTAACTTTGTCAAACCTGGGTCGTAATCTAGCATCATCATAGGTTAAGTAACCAACAAAAGGCTTTTGCTTTTTCTGACAAACTAATTCAGACAAATTTTATATTTGACATCATTAGCTTTATTTTTACAGCCATTGACAAAGTTAACCTACCGACACGACTAGACAAACTCAGTAAACAAGGGAAGGACACGCCATTTCTGACTGCGTTAGTGGATAATATCGGATGGTCGGTACTCACGCTGTTCACATTGTGTGCCAATGAATCCTTCTGAACAGAGACAAATAGAATGTCCATTCTCTGGGATACACTCCCCGCCATTGTCACATGGGGGATGACACACGGCTGAAACAGAAATGGGAAGTAGTTAAACAACCAAAGGGGGCTACACACTTCTGAAACAGGAACGGGGACTACGTTCGGCTGGAACAGTTATGAGGGACTACACACGATTGAAACAGAAACGAGGATTACACACGATTGAAACAGAAACGAGGATTACACACGATTGAAACACAAACGAAGACTACACACGGCTTAAACAGAAACGGGGACTACACACGGCTGAAACAGAAACGAGGACTACACACGGCTTAAATAGAAACGCGAACGACACACGGCTTAAACAGAAAAGGGGACTATATACGGCTTAAACAGAAACTAGGACTACACATGGCTTAAACAGAAAAGGGGACTATATACGGCTTAAACAGAAACGAGGACTACACACGGCTTAAACAGAAAAGGGGACTATATACGGCTTAAACAGAAACTAGGACTACACATGGCTTAAACAGAAACGAGGACTACACATGGCTTAAACAGAAAAGGGGACTATATACGGCTTAAACAGAAATGGGACGACCTTCTGCTGAAACAGAAACGGGTACTACACACGGCTGAAACAGAAACGGGAACTACACACGGCTGAAACAGAAACGGGAACTACACACGGCTGAAACAGAAATGGGGACTACACACGGCTGAAACAGAAACGGGAACTACACACGGCTGAAACAGAAACGGGAACTACACACGGCTGAAACAGAAACGGGTACTACACACGGCTGAAACAGAAACGGGAACTACACACGGCTGAAACAGAAACGGGTACTACACACGGCTGAAACAGAAACGGGAACTACACACGGCTGAAACAGAAACGGGAACTACACACGGCTGAAACAGAAACGGGAACTACACACGGCTGAAACAGAAATGGGGACTACACACGGCTGAAACAGAAACGGGAACTACACACGGCTGAAACAGAAATGGGGACTACACACGGCTGAAACAGAAACGGGAACTACACACGGCTGAAACAGAAATGGGGACTACACATAGGTAAACACCAAACGGGGAAGTAATATCACACTTAAGTGTAATATTTCAACATAAATTACAGTATCCGTATTTCAAACATTCTCCAATATATAACACAGTAGGTATATTACTACCCTGATAGTTAAATCAGGTTTGTTTTCATGTGACTGTACCTGTTTCGCACTGTCTGCCCGTGAAGTCATTAGAACACAGACAGTGGGCACTGCCTGTAGGGTCCGGGGTACCGCCATTTTCACACTGTATCTCAGGAGGTGAAGCTGAAAGTAAAGAATTTTGAAAAAACATAGAACATGTCCTAACCAGAGATGTTTAGCTGTATGTAGTAAACTCTTCAAATAGTCTGATGTTAATACGTTGATAGCATAGGTGAAGCTTATTTTGTTATACGTTTACTTAATATATCACACCATCATCATCATCATTATCATCATCATCATCAAATTTTATTTCCTCTTAAAGGAGATATTACATTACAAAAGAAATCGACAAACAGTTAAGACGACATTACAAATGTTTTATATCGTGCACGCGAAGGGTCTGTACATGCATTGAGCTTCAGTACTCTAAACGGACATCAGAAAGAGAGCGCGTGGGGCTGACAACGTACCGCACTGCCTTCATTAAACAAAGTTTCAATAAGGAGCCATCCTGGAAATGGAAACCCGAGATTTCACTAAACAAAGTATGGGTAATAGTAATATTATTCTCTGGTCTACAAAAATTATGCACATCAGGGCCAAACTCGGTAAGAATCCCATGGAGAAAATCTGTACGGAGGGCACTTGTGTGCTCGCAGATCGTGCACATATGAGTTTACTTGTACGCTTACTTAATATATCACACAATCTCCACGTGTGGATGTTTTCAAAATAACGCATGAATCAACGTTTAATCTAATTACTTCTATTTCTCCTTATTCAAACGGACAAAGACCTGTTATATTTAAAGCAGAATATAAAAACACATTATACTGAATTGTAGATAAAACAACGGATCAATCAAACACGAGCGATAGTATGAATAAATTATCATTTTAAGTAATATTTCATGAAACGCGTCTCAAGTTTTTACTTTTGAGAGCCTTGGGGTTTTAAGTCAAAATGTGGACGACAAAGTTATCCGGAGGCAGCCATTTTGTTGTGCCATATTCAATCTATTATATAACGCCATTAACCATATCCTGACATCACAATCGATTACTGATTGTCACAACCAATAAAAGACGATTTAGGATAAATTACAGTTGTAACATATGAAAAAATATCGAATGGGGGAATTCCCTGGATAACAGGCGGATTAAGTGACAAACGTATATATAACATAGCAAAATGTTTATATCACAACTCGACGCAATTACGAAAGGACAACAGGATATTCAGTCAAGATCAAAATATGTTTAAAGGGCAAAATCATATAGATAAAATAATCCTCACATTGTAACGTCAAAGGGTTTAGGACACGATTTTATAGAATTCAATACTTTCCAACTAGCAATGCACTGCCTTCATCAGTAACATAGGCTGAAAAACGATTTATTGGCCTAATTGTTTGACACTTTTAGAAATGAACAAAATAAGAACATAGTACATGGAAACTGTCCAGCTTTATCAGTTGTTATTTCCCTGCAAAATCAACTCTAACAAAGCATAACAGATATGAAATAATACTCACGAACTGTACAGAGGCCATATTCATCCCTCACCCACCCCTCACAGCAGACCTTATAACACACTGTGATATTCACAATGTACTCCATCTTTTTGTAACATCTGTTGAATAAGATAGAAATCACTATGAAAAGTCACACGGATAACACTACAATGTGATGGCCAATATTTCTTGTCTAATGAAATTAAACAACAGACAATTCGAGTCTCTGTTCTGCATAAGCGCCCCATATAAATGAAATGCTGTTTTCAACTATGTTGGAATATCGCTTTTAGCAATTTAGAGTGGCGCAGCTGTTCTTTAGCGTTATCAAAACTTTGGACCTTAAATCTTCTTTTTTTACTTGATACAACGTTATCGTGATGGTGTTCTTACATCGGTTCTTCCCGATAGCTCCTTTCAGTCCGGCCATCCTCGGATCCATTACAGGGATGTTCTACCCATTGGGTCACGTTGATCATGTGGTTCACGTAGTTGCAGCACACATTATTATTTCGGCAGCCATCATATCTGTCGTCATCATCTCTGTCGTCATCATCTATATCGTCATCTTCCCAATCGTCATCGTCTCTGTCGCTTTCGTCACTGCGTTCAGCACCATGGTTTCCTCCCCTAAACCACAAATACCAACAGAAATATTATCATTATTTCACAGCTATTTCATCATCGAACCACAGCTTTTTCCGAACTAAATAAACAAGACAGAATTTCTCATACTGCCACAACTAAAGGTGCCACCTGAAAATTAAATGAAAACGACAAGAAAATTCCAAGATTTGATGAAATATTTATTCTCAGTAAAAATTCTGAATCTTAGACATAATATAAAATGAATGATTTCCATGAAGATCTGTGAAATGTATAAGGAGAATAAAACAAACGTCTTTCGCATTTGGAAAAAACGCAAAAACAAAAATCAAATCGCATTAATTTTGGGACAAGCTCGAACTAGTTCGTTTTTTTTTCAAAATGCATCAAGCTTTAGGCCAAGTCTACGCAAATTGAAAAACAAATTGAATGAAAAATTGGACCAACAAAGCATTTTCTGCTTTTTCGACGACACACACCATGTAAACCTTGGTAAATACAAATAACAGGCACCGAAAACATTTAACTTCATACCATAGAAGGGAAAAGAACATTGCCAAATGAGATGATGGTAACGACCATATTTTGTCAATAATCTTCATCAATCTGCATCTCTCGAAACTCCGTATTTGTTAATTTACCTGTGAGTTTTCGACATAGTTTACTTGTATTGGGAACAACTGCAACGCCATTAATTCTGTTGGTTTGGGAAGAAGGAAATTTACTATTGGGAAGTATAAACAATTACGACATAATCCAGCCAAATTATCAGATAGACAAAGAGCAACATGGAAATTCTTATCATACAGCTTAGTGAAAAGCTGTCCTTGTTGGTAGTGTTGAAGACAAGATCAAGGTAAGTGAACTACGCAAATGAGCGAGTGCGATCCAGGACTGGGGGTTATATGTGATAGACAACATCATTAGTTATCTAAAAACATCATCAATATACAGAAAAGTCAAATGGAAGACAAGTTTGTTCTTATTTGTTAAGATGAGCTTTTCTTTAAGTTGAGTCTGGTAAGGAAATAAAAGCAAGCCGGACAAGAGAGGGCACTTTTACTTCACAGTATGCCACCAAATTAAACGAATGTTTTTTTTTTCAATCAAAGATTTAAACATTCACGAGACTTTTTCCTCAATATAGTTCATCTTCGAAAGTATTTCGAAAAGTAGGACGAAAAGTAGGATCTAGTAATTGAATTTTTTAGTGACAGAAAATGTCTCGCGAGTTTTATAACCGATCCCTACCATTACCAAATAAATCGCTTGCAACTTAATACCTTAAATGTTCTATTGATATTCAGTTCGATATATATGTTTCCTCTGTCTAAAGTCGGTGTTCTCTAGTTGGGCTGGGGCGGGGAGGGGGGGGGGGGTACATGCATCTCTATGAGAAAATGGATATGATTTTCCCTATCCTATATACGAAGCCTACACATTATACGCCAATGTCCGTGTGACCTACACATTATACGCCAATGTCCGTGTGACCTACACATTATACGCCAATGTCCGTGTGACCTACACAACACCATGATTTACCACGATATCATCAGTTTATCGTATACTGTAATACATTCCCTATACATTATAAATTAGCACCGTATGATGGAAGATTAAACCGCCATTCAATTATTCATATTACTTTGATGATTCATATCCATTTGTCTCCTATCTTACAAATATCTTGTCTCGATTATCTTACATTTATTGCCCAAGGGAAAGGCTAGTACCGTCATTCATCTGTTATATAATAACATTATCTGGCATTTTTTTTTCAGTAAGATTATCTGGTATGCTTACAAGTATTACGTCACTATCTGTTCTGTACTGGTTGGAATGCTTTTTTTCACCAACCCCTATTAACTATAACTGAGTTTTAAGCAACTTGTGTCTGATGTGTTACCAAGTATTACGTCATCGTCAGAATGTAGATATCTAGTGTATTAGCTAATATGACGTCACTAACTGTCCTGGAATGTAGATATCTGAAAATTTATCTAGAATTACAACACTGTGATTCCCTGGAATGTAAATATCTGGTAGGTTATCTAGAATTACGTCACTGCCTGTCCTAGGAATGTAAATATCTGGTAGGTTATCTAGAATTACGTCACTGTCTGTCCTAGGAATGTAAATATCTGGTAGGTTATCTAGAATTACGTCACTGTCTGTCCTAGGAATGTAAATATCTGGTAAGTTATCTAGAATTACGTCACTGTCTGCCCTAGGAATGTAAATATCTGGTAAGTAATCTAGAATTATGTCACTGTCTGTCCTAGGAATGTAAATGTCTGGTAAGTTATCTAGAATTATGTCACTGTCTGTCCTAGGAATGTAAATGTCTGGTAAGTTATCTAGAATTATGTCACTGCCTGTCCTAGGAATGTAAATATCTGGTAGGTTATCTAGAATTACGTCACTGTCTGTCCTAGGAATGTAAATATCTGGTAGGTTATCTAGAATTACGTCAATGTCTGTCCTAGGAATGTAAATATCTGGTAAGTTATCTAGAATTATGTCACTGTCTGTCCTAGGAATGTAAATATCTGGTAGGTTATCTAGAATTACGTCACTGTCTGTCCTAGGAATGTAAATATCTGGTAAGTTATCTAGAATTATGTCACTGTCTGTCCTAGGAATGTAAATATCTGGTAAGTTATCTAGAATTACGTCACTGTCTGTCCTAGGAATGTAAATATCTGGTAGGTTATCTAGTATTACGTTTCCATCTCTCCTAGGGTGTAAATGCCTCGAGTATTATCAAATATGTCGTAGAATGTATTGATCCAAATTTATGGTCCTTCGATAATCCCATATACCTCCAATTTCCAGATAAATAAGACAATCAGTAACAATTGACTCCTTTGGTGTTTTATAATTATCTTTTTCAGCAAAATAGTTACACCATCTACCTATAAATACAAAAAATATTTTTGATGTTAATTTCAGTATTAATGACACTATTTCAAAACCTTATTACACCTGCGGTTTCAATATGCATATATAATGTAATAAAAGCTGTCATAGCTTTATGAAGAGTAGTGATGTCACAGAGGAGCCGTCTCATAGTGTACACCACACAACATTTCTACTTCCTGGTTGCACTAAGGTGCTATTTAAACGGTGTACCATATCATCGAAAAAGTCAATGTTCTGCCTTTCATAACGAATACAAATCAGCTGAAACCACGTGATATTCTGTTAACGACACGTGTAAAACTTGAAAACAAAGAAAATGAGTGAAGAATAATCTTGTGAGGTGATCTCAGTCTACGGTCTCAGACTTCCATAAGTTTAGAGTAGAAATAAAATTGTACACATGTGTTATCTATTAAATTGTTTCATATATTGAGTTTTGATATCCTGTGTTTCAATTGTCTGCAGGTGATATAATTTCCAGTCAGGAAAATTGTCTTTGAATTTACCATTTACTGTGTAAAATGTGCTGCTATTTTTGATAGAATTATTCCGGTGTTGTACTGGTAAGAGAAAAAAAAAACAATACATAGGATATACCATACTAGAAACCTTTAAGTACCCTTAGTCAGGTTAAAGGCTATCATCGTAACATATGTACCCGGTCAGGTGACGTACTGGTAACGAACTATCCTTTCCCCTAGACGTCCGCGGTTCGATTGTATCGCTGTATCACTTTCCTCTGAACCATACAATGGTATGTCCACTACCTCCTCTTCTATTTTTGTCACTCTGTACTGTAGATCATACAAACAATGTTATATACCGTTAAGTTAAAGGAAAGATTAACTTTATCGAAGCCAATAAGGAAACAAACATTGAGTTAAAGAAAATACATCAACAGTGTAATCCAATATGTATGTAACCAGCGAGGTAGGAGATTACGCTATTGTTAACCTGGTATTATCTAATTTAGTGTCTCCGTTGGAAATAGACTCGTTATCTAAATACGGAAAGTTTTCATTATTGACATTAACTTTAAGGCGATATTGTGTCTAGTGTATATTTACAGTGTGTTTAAAATGTGGACATTGCTATATACATATATTATATTTCGCCATCTGCACCTGTCATTTATGAAAAAATGTAAATTTTTAAACTTTATAATCTTTAAGTAGTGGGTTAAACCATTCAAGATGCACACATTTCAATCAAAATCATTGTTTAATTATATACCTGGTCCAGTGTTTATATCACACTGGTGTTCGTTTCGCCTAACCCCCGTCTTTAAAAGGAATAGTATGTAATTTACAATGGTATCTGGATGAAAATAATTTCAGTTAGTAAAAAAGGTAATGTTTAATGATAATCAGGAAGTGGAGCAAATGTGCTTGTGTATAATTAGTCTAGTTGTTCACCGTGAGAAAAACTGGTATTGTGAAGGCAGGTCTAGTTGTACACAGTGAGAAAAGAGTGAATAAAGGGCCGCTGGTTTAGTTGTACACCGTGAGAAAAGATTGTATAATGGGCCGCTGGTCTAGTTGTACACCGTGAGAAAAGAGTCTATAATGTACCGCTGGTCTAGTTGTACACCGTGAGAAAAGAGTGTATAATGGGCCGCTGGTCTAGTTGTACACCGTGAGAAAAGAGTGTATAATGGGCCGCTGGTCTAGTTGTACACCGTGAGAAAAGAGTGTATAATGTACCGCTGGTCTAGTTGTACACCGCGAGAAAAGAGTGTATAATGGGCCGCTGGTCTAGTTGTACACCGCGAGAAAAGAGTGTATAATGGGCCGCTGGTCTAGTTGTACACCGTGAGAAAAGAGTGTATAATGGGCCGCTGGTCTAGTTGTACACCGTGAGAAAAGAGGGCCGCTGGTCTAGTTGTACACCGTGAGAAAAGAGTGTATAATGGGCCGCTGGTCTAGTTGTACACCGTGAGAAAAGAGTGTATAATGGGCCGCTGGTCTAGTTGTACACCGTGAGAAAAGAGCCGCCTAGTTGCTGGTCTAGTTGTACACCGTGAGAAAAGAGTGTATAATGGGCCGCTGGTCTAGTTGTACACCGTGAGAAAAGAGTGTATAATGGGCCGCTGGTCTAGT